ACAAACAAACAAACAATACTACTAGCATTCATAGTTCTGTTTGGTTGTAACTTTAAAGTATATCCTTTATTTAATTTCATTAAAAATGTTTATACTTTGTATTCACCAAATTGATTATAATAATACTACTGATATCTGATCTTTTAAGTTAACACTTATAGTAGGACTACAAATAACTAATATTTTGATTATTGATCAGCTGATTATTTTCTAGATTGGTCTTATATTTTCAATTCACTGCTTTAGTGTTTTGCCAAAAAATGTTTTACATTGTACAAAATAACCCACATTTCATTGGTTTGCACTAATATCATTTATTGGTTAATTGTCTTGTAAAATGTATTTATACCAGCATTCTCATTGTTATCAATAATACATTGTTTTCCTAGCATTTGAAACTTGTCCAATTTATCCATGTTTCCCGCCAGATCTCAGATCCAGAGAAGTGTGACCAGATGTATGAAAGTTTGGCGCGCATTAACAGCAACTACTACAGACAACGAGTAAGTACAGTATAATTGATTCACAACTTCCAAAAAATGGTTATTTAAAATGCTTTTTTCCTTACAATATAACTTAAATATTGCTACTGAGAAACTATATTGCTCCAAAGTTGTGTCCACAATTATTGACTGATTTATCTACACATCCCAAAATAATCTACCAGTTTTAAATGTTGTTTAGTAAACCATTTTTATTTTGGCAAGTTTCTAAGAAATAAAACAACTGGTCTAAAAAATATATATTTTTGTAACAGGCATTTTGGATAACGGAGAGTTGACAACCAATTGAAAACATGTAGTACAAAGTGTTTCTGTGTGCAAGTCTAACATAATTTGTATTACCTTTGTCTTAGGTTCTCTTTATGATCATTTTCAAACATAAAAACTCCATATCTTAAACACACTTTACCTGAGGCCAGGGGGGTATACTACGAATCTAGTTCAACATATCCTGGATATGTTTTGAGTTATCCGGTTGACTAAATCCAAAAAAAAACGCTCTCGCTAAACGGTCCTACGACGCTGGCTATCAACTCGATCGCTCAAGCCAGCCGTGTCCTATCTAGTTAGGTGCGCGTTGACATAAAAGGGGTGGTATCTGGAGCATTCGACCAATCACAAACATGGACAAGCCGTGTACTGACAGCGCAGCGCGTCATATATTTCCTGAATGAAAAGTCAACTAATATTAGACAAATATGAAGACGTTAAACTTTAAACATCCATGACTTAAACACTTTATCCAGGATAAAAGCCACATAGTTGCAGCTGCAAGGTGAATAGGCTACAGCTGGTAAAAGAAAAAGTGTTTGAATGCGCACATTAACAGGTTTATGATATCACTGCCCCGTCTAAGACACGAGTGGATCTGACTTTAATTACATTTGACTCGAGTGTTTCGTCAACTTAATGTGTTGCTTAAAATAATAGTTCTGCATACAGTATGTGACACTGTAAGTGTTGCACGGCCAGATACGGCTCAAGAAGCTGACTCAAATAAGGAAATATATGATACATTATGATGTGATATCATGTGATATGAATGATAATGGGACACATCGCCGTCTGCACTCACAGTGCCGCGGACTGTATGCTACGTAATGTTACTTTGATCCGGTTACTTATGTTGTGGCAGATATTTAAGTAAGCTTTCTTAACGCTAATGTTATAATAGTCAGATTGCTCTGAAGATGGGAGGTGATATTCTATTCATTTTCACGTTCACACAGTCGGTGATTTTGTCCGGCCGTCTTTCCTGCAACGGCAGTTTAAACTGTATTTCCTTTCTCCTGTCATATGAATTGATCGCTTTAAACTCCGCACACTGAGCTCTGATTGGTCAGCAGGCAGTGCTTTTATCCTGGAACCTATCCTGCTCCGGAGGCTAGCCGTTCAGAATAAATTATCTCGCCTGCTAAAAAGTGAACCAGCTTCGTAGGACCGGAAACCCCTGAAGTTAGCTTGCTAAACGAAAATCTTGATTCGTAGTATACCCCCCTGTACTACGAAGCCGGATTTTCATAACCTGGATATGTTTGAGTTGGCTCAATCCAAAACATACGCGCTCTCGCTAAGCTGTACTACGACGCTGGTTATCAAGTGGATCGCTCAAGCCAGCCGTGTCCTATCTAGTTAGGTGCGCGTTCACATGAAAGGGGTGGTATTTGGAGCATTCGACCAATCTCAAACATGGACAAGCGTACTGACAGCGCAGCGTCATACTTCCTGAATGAAAAGTGAACTTTAATATTAGTCAAATATGAAGAAGTTAAACTTTAAACATCCATGACTTAAACACTTTATCCAAGCCACATAGCTGCACCTGCAAGGTGAATACAGCTGGTAAAAGAAAAAGTGTTTGAATGCGTACATTAACAGGTTTATGATATCACTGCCAAGACATGAGTGGATCTGACTTTAAATTACATTTGACTCGAGTGTTTCGTCAACTTAATGTGTTGCTTAAAATAATACTTCTGCATGCCTATGTGACACTGTGAGTGTTGCACGGCCAGATACGGCTCAAGAAGCTGACTCAAATAAGGAAATGTATGATACATTATGATGTGATATCATGTGATATGAATGATAATGGGACACATCGCCGTCTGCACTCACAGTGCCGCGGACTGTATGCTACGTAATGTTACTTTGATCCGGTTACTTATGTTGTGGCAGATATTTAAGTAAGCTTTCTTAACGCTAATGTTATAATAGTCAGATTGCTCTGAAGATGGGAGGGGATATTCTATTAATGTTCACGTTCACACAGTCAGTTGATTTTTGCCGACCGTCTTTCCTGCAACGGCAGTTTTTCTGTATTTCCTCTATCCTGTAATATGACTTGATAGCTTTAAACTCCGCACACGGAGCTCTGATTGGTCAGCAGGCGGTGCTTTCACTGAGTTGATCTCTTAGCCTGCAACCTAACCTCCTCCCGAGGAGGTTAGCCGCTCAGCATAAGTTACCATGGAGATCTAGCCCGCTAAAAAGAGAACCAGCGTCGTAGGACCGGAAAGCCCGAGTTTTCCCTGAAGTCAGCCGGCTAAGCGAAAATCCGGCTTCGTAGTACAGGCCTCAGGTTTAATGCCAAACTATACAGCATCTATAAATAAACAATGTTCTTGTCTGAAGACATCTGTCTGTAACATGAAGTGTATCAGCTGAGGAAACATGTTTCTGTGATCTTCGAGACTATAAAGAAAAACCTGTGGCTTTTAGCATTTATTCTTTGATGAGGATAATAAAATACTTTATGATTAGTCCAGAGGTTGTTACGTGTTACCAATACCTTGGATATAGACCATAGGCACATTAAAAAATACTCCTTTCAAAAAAGACATTTATGATTATTACATTATGAGTGTGTATTTCTGGGTGAAACCTTTATGTATCCAACCTACCCTTATTTTATGCAAACATGTCTTTATCTTCTCAGTTTCCTCGTGTAAGAGACACAAGCTTTACTGGCGTTACGGTTGAAGAATGTAAATTGCTTTTGTCAGGTAAGAATCCACAATATCGCATTTATCTTTATAACTAATTATGAAAGACATTTTTATTACAGTTAACTTTATATTTACTTACAGGAAATCTGCACCAGATGGACGAGGAAAAAAAGGGATTGTGGAAGAAACTATTGGAGAGATTTTCCAAATCCCCCGAAGACGTTCCAGAGAAAGCCCCTGAAAAATAACTTCCCTTAATCTTTTCTGACTGTTCCTTTCTTGTCTCATGCATGTATAATAAATAAATCTTATTGTTCATATCTTTATGGATTCTTATGTTGTTTTTACTATCCATGTTGTTCGTTATTACAAACGTTTAACTATGCAGATGGTAATGGTTTCACATTTGAAGGGATCAAAACACTTCAACAAGAAAGTCTCTCCAAAAACATAAATAACATTCTAAATACTTTTAAATAGATACATCATTTCTACTTTCATCAAGAAAGTTTGTCTGTTCATTTTCTTTTGTTTGTTCACATGTGTTAGTTTTTTAAATCTTTTATTAGTTGTGGCCCTTGTACTAAATTGTTTTTTCCGCCTTGTTAAGGATGTTCTTTGCTTTTTCATTATTTTCTCATGCCCTACAGAATACACTTAAAGGAAAAAATTGCAAATGTATCCTATAATTGTCTCCAACTTTTAGTCGTGGACTGGGTAACAAATTTGGGAACAAATCTCAACACCAATGACTAAGTATGTTATTTAAGGATCACGCCTATTTTTAGGCAATAGCATAGGTCTCAGATACAAATACATAAAAAACATGTCTATGAAGTGTTTTGCTCAAAATACCAAACAGATCACCCATTCTAGCCATGCCTCATATCCCTCTATTTCACTTCCTGTTTCAAAAGTGCAGATTTTGGGTATAAAGCTTTAATAAAGAAAGAAATGATAATAAAAGAGGGGCGGAGCTTATGCCTGCTCATGCGGGAGATTCTACCGGCAGATACTGCCGTGATGAAACGCCATATCATGGATTATCAAGGATTATTTCTGAAACAGTATGGAACTCAAAGGCTTTCTCTCTTGCCGGTTATACCACAAGGTGAGTTCCTTTTTATTTCCTGCTTCTTCACACACATGCTTAGCGATGCTAATGTAAACACCGACCATATTACGTCCAAAACAGTCGGGCATTGTTTCTGATAGTGCTGTGTGTCTGCATTGCCGATTTGACGAAATATCGGACGCAAATCTGGATCAGCTCCGTTGTACCCCCGTTTTTAGAGATTTGGGTACGGAGGAAAAGAGAGGGTTTTATTTTCTGACGCTGCGTGAGTTCCCTGACACACCGGGGACTCATATTTATGTATAAAAGTCATAAAAAAGTGCATTTTGCATGATAGGTCCCCTTTAAAGTGTCTGAGGAAAAGCTTGGTGCTCAAAACATTACACAGCAGCATTTAAAGCCTCCAAGCTTTAAAAAATAAATAAATAAAATGTTGTTGGCCTGTTGTGCGAGAAGGAATGTATTCAAGAGTGATAGATTGGATATAAATCTTTATTTTTAATTGAGTTATAGCAGTTACAACACAAATCTCTTAATCATGAATGAATACAAACAAAAGCCCTTTTTTTCAAATAAAAAAAAGCTACTCCTCTCTGTTGTCCTTATCCTCTCTGTTGTCTCTCCATATGCGGTAGTTGAGGCAGGTGGCGAGGCACAGCCAGGCCAGGTAGGGGGCCATCAGCAGAGTGGCCGTTCTGCTGATAGGATACCAAGACACCATGGTGGCCCCCACGGTCCCAGTGAGAAGCACAATGTCTACGAGTGCCTATATGGGCAGAGAGAGGGCCGTTGAGCTGTTATCTCGCAGTGTAAAGAAATAATTACATTTATGTGTGAAACTTACCAATTTCAGCTTATGTGCACCAAAGAAGATGGGAGTCCAGATCCAGTTGAGAGCAAGCTGCAGCCCATAAAGTCCCAGAGGAACCAGCGCTTCCTCAGTGAAACCGCCCAGCTCCTTCCACACCAGGTAGGAGCTATACCTACATAACATGTAAAAACTGTTATTAAGATACAATGTTATTTGAGGGTTTTTAAACACGGGAAAAGTAGGCGATTGACTCCTTAAACATTGCCAGTATAGACAAGTATGCCCTATGTTAATTTGGTTAGTCACTTTCGACTTCACAGACGTGCAGACTAGCACTGGAAGACTAGTTTGAAAAGTGGAAAGAGTAACAAAGACAGGTTTTGGTGGGCAAGGAGCTTGAAAGACTGCAGCTGTGGATCTGAGAGACTGTAGGAGTCTGTCAACGCGATGCTTACCCCATGCCTGTGTACAGACAGGTCCACACTACAGGGAATGCAGCATTTGGTGGGCGCCATGAGGGTTTCTTCAGGGTTGGGTACCAGCTCTTCACCTCTTTGCGTGTGATGAAACCGCCGTAAAGCCCCCCCAGGTGCGGCAGGGCGGTCATCCCAAGCATGGGCAGCCACATGTTCTGTGATAAGAACGGGAAAACATTATGGACACACTGAAAGCACCAAAGAGTTGAGGAGAACTGCAGAGTCAGGTGATAATACTCTTTGGGAAACCATTCACATACAAGTGTTTACGTGATCCATTGTTAATATGAGAGATACTGTATGTTACAGATGCTTTAAACCCTCAAATACCTATATCAGTATCTGCCTCAGTAATCCAAAATTGGTGCTTAAGGTATTAGGTACCTTTAGGACAATTAAGGTCATTTTTTTGTCAGTTATTACTGCAAGCAGACTTTCTTGAAAAATCCCTGTCCTAAAAAGCATAACGTCCAATGGCATATAAACATAACAACATGTACAATTGCAGTCATACACCTAGGTTTATAAGCCGTAGAAAACAGGTACAGATATGGCAGTTTAGCAAAACTTGACAGAGCTACATGACTGGCAGTTTACCCAATACAAAAAGCCTTTTAAGTACATTAATGTGTGTATAAACTCAAATTACCTATCTTCCATCTTTACTAGCAATGTCATTCAGCTCTAAGCTTCTTCAGGTAACTTTAAGCAGATCATCTTCTAATTCTGCCAGTGTTTGCAGCAGTGCAGTGGAATGCATAGCAATTTCAACATCATCCTTCAAACGCGTTTTCTGTGTGATTCAAAATCACATGATGTTAACACATTTTGAATTTTGTTTCCTGAAGTTTATTTTCATGCTGCCTTAAAGGAAAACGTTGGCTAATTAAGGTGTAAAACTGCAACCATTAACCTAGATTCAATCAAACAGTTAACATCTTTATATATACAGTCTATGATTAACATGCATGGTTGTTTGGCAACACTTTACAGAGTCACGACTGAGGGTCAACATGCGACAAAATATCCGAATGTTTCAGAACAACAGCAAGACATGCTAACGTAGGTTTAAAGCAAACCGGTAGTGTTTTCGCTTTGTAGGAGTCATAATGTCACAGGACTGATAAGCTCTAGCTAACGTTAGGTCAAATATGCAGTTTAATAAGATTGTAGTGTCATTTACGTCGTCTTGTTTGTAGGTTGATATAACAAGCTACTCACCTCTCACTCAGTTGCCTTCTCCTCAGCACAGCAAAGCTAATGTATTATTTTATCGGACTAACGTTGACTTATACTATACACTGACAGTGAACACCTCATGCATGCTGCTGTATTGTGATATTAGTTTGTGTAGCAGGCTGGGCTGTGTGTTATCTTATCAGTGGGGTCAGTGTTGCTGACACTCCCCGTGCAAAGACAAACACCGTGACGTCACAGTGTGGTATTGGTCGAGAGGACGAGAGAGAAGATTGACGGTTGGTGGTGAAGTGTTTCGGTAGCTAAATAATTAAGTTGTAGAAAGTCCAAATAAGGTCACATAACACACTAGCTTACCGTCCTTCCTCTTCGACCGGTTACACAATTACAAAAAAAGTTACAAAACACACACCCAACTGGTCTGGATACCGGGATGGACAGCAAAGATTATGAAAGCGTCGAGATAGTTCCGGGGTGTTCTTTTCATGGGTAGATTTTTGTTCCAGTGTGTACTAAGTTTATCTCAGGTTACTATGGAAAGCTTTAATAAAATATGCCTCTTGCTAGTAACATTTAAAAATATGTTAAAATAGTAAGCAAACGTACAAACATGTGAGGTCACTAGAATGATAATTCTTCACAAAACTATAGTGGAAAAGGTATCATGAATTTGAATTTCTTAAGGCCTATTCTATAAAGAAAAAATGGACATAACAATTAGAACAAGAAAACTGGGCATATCCTGCTAAAGAAATAGACAAGACTATTTGTATAATTTTAATTATTATAACAAAAGTTATGTAAGTATATTACACAATTCGTGTAGGATACATAATAGCCTCCAGTTTCCCCCACTTGTGTTACACAAGTGCTTCACAAGTAGAGCTAGTCTATATGAAAAACTAGGTGTAGCCTATATAGTATTTTCAATATGTCATGTGTTATTTATTATGTATAGTTATTTTGTATTCTCTTTTTATCACAAACAAATACATAGGTGGATCACAGACTTCCTGTCTGACAGGAAGCAGCACGTGCACTGGGGAAACACGTCTCTGATCCCGGACCATCAGCACCGGTTCCCCTCAAGGCTGCGTTCTTTCCCCTCTGCTCTTCTCCCTGTACACCAACAGCTGCACCTCCAGTCACCAGTCTGTCAAGCTCCTGAAGTTCGCAGACGACACCACCCTCTGCCTACAGGTGGGAGATGGACCATCTGGTGACCTGGTGTAGGGACAACCACCTGGAGCTCCATCACTCTGTGTGACTCCCCAGTAACTGCTGTGGAGTCATTCCGATTCCTGGGCACCATCATCACCCAGGACCTCAAATGGGAGCAGAACATCTAAACATGTATAAAGTACAGCAGAGGATGTTCTTCCTGAGGCAGCTGAAGAAATTCAACCTGCCAAAGACAATGATGGTGAACTTCTACACCTGCATCATTGAGTCCATCCTCACCTCCTCCATCACCATCTGGTACGCTGCAGCCACAGCCAAGGATAAGGGCAGGCTGCAGCGGGTCATCCGCTCTGCAGAGAAGGTGATCGGCTGTAATCTGCCATCCCTCCACGACCTGCATGCCTCCAGGACCCTGAGGCGGGCAGGGAAGATAGTGGCCGACCCCTCCCACCCTGGACACAAACTGTTCACCCCCCTCCCCTCTGGCAGGAGGCTGCGCTCCATCAGGACCAAAACCTCTCGCCACCTGAACAGTTTCTTCCCCTCCGCTACCGGCCTCTTAAACAAGGCCCGGCCCCCCCACTGACACAACGTAGACTCTATATGCATTACATTAGTGCACACAATGTTCAAATACTGCTTAGGCCTACTCAGTGTTTCCCATACATTAATGGATTTTTTTTTTTGGTGGTCTAATGGATAGTGAGGTGGGCTGATGATCGGAAGGTTGCGCCCACAAATAGAATCAAATTCTGTGGGAAACACTGCTACTGCACATATTCTTATTTTATATTCTATAACTCATTGCATTCCATTTCGCTGTAAATTACTGCTTTATTTTATTGCTATTTAACTATTTTATTACAGTGTCCTTAAAGATTTTTTGTTTTATATTAGATTTCTTGTTTTATATGGAGATTCTTTGTTTTATATTTTACATGTATGCACCATGACATCAAGTCAAATTCCTCGTATGTGTGAACCTACCTGGCAATAAACCCGTTTCTGATTCTGATTCTGATATGAGGGCATTTTATTGTGGTAGTACTTTAATGTGGGGTGAATTTTAGTAACTTTGTATGCTGAGTAACCTAGAATGTCATCTTATATACAGTATACATATATATTGTACTTAAGTTTGATGTTTGTGTTCCACCATTGGCTGCATATGGCTCTTTGCATTTCATTATCTGTTAGTGTTTATGAAGGCCTGCAGGCTGCAGGGTTAAGGGTGTTGAATCTGCAGCTGGTCAGGATACTGAAATGGGTAAGCATCTTTAAAAGGATATCCTCATTGTTGGTTAATTGAGTGATTAGAGAAAGGGAGAGGGCACTGGAGTAGTTGGAGCTTCGAGGAAGAAACTGAGGGAGCAGTCAACCTCTAATCTCACTATGAACAGAGAGTACTGTCACCATAACACTGACCTCCTCTCCACCTCTGTTCACCTCATCTAACCCATGCCTTGACCCCACCCTGGTTGTCCGGTGCCTTGCTCAAGGGCACCACGGCAGGAGGTGAACTGGGACCTCTCCAAGTAGCAGTCCACACTCCATATTTAGGTCTGTTCGGGGACTTGAACCGCCATTTGTAAGAAGTAACTAACATTTACTCAAGTACTGTGCTCAACTTTAAAGAAATTGTCATTCACTTGAGTTTTTTTATTTTATAATACGATATAATACAGCTTTATTTGTAAAGCATTTTAAAGGTCCCATGTCATGGCCATTTCTACTGATCATAATTCCATTGTTGAGGTATACTAGAATAGATTTATATTGTGCAATTTTCCAAAATCACATTGGTTTCTCATACAGCATCTCTGTATAGCATGTGTATTCACTCTCTGTCCTAAACGGCTTGTTGGAGCTCCTGCCCCCCCCTCCCTGTGAGCCCAGTGTGCTCTGATTGGTCAGCTCGCCCACTCTATTCTGATGAGTCCACCACCGTTACAGCGGAACATCAGTGATTATGTGTTACAATGGCGTTAGCAACCAGAAAATGACACCAGTAATGACAAACAGATGAGAATGCTGCGTGGGGTCTGGGTGCCGTGTTGGCGGGACGTTGCGGGGCTCGCTGCTGGAGCGGACAGCGTGAGCTGGCTTGCTGGTGTTGTTTCCTGGTTGCTGCGTGGGGTCTGCAGGACAGCGGGACATGGCGAGGCCCGGCCCGATCTCGGCTGTGTGTGTGCTCGGACCGGGCCACACACAGACCCGGTAATAACCGGAAAAGTATGACATGGGACCTTTAAAACCTCTAGACCAAATTGCTGTACAGAGAAAGAAAGAAATAAAAGACAAAAATCACACAGCTCCAGTCACAAACCGTAAAATAAGTAAAAATACAAATAAAAAAGTTAAAAGCATCAAAGTCATCATGAATAAAATATTACCAGCCATAAAAACAATAGACCATTTAAAAGAAATAAAAGCAACAATCAAGTGTACATTTTAAGGAAATATGGAGGAACATATTGTACGGTTTGCTCTTCTTTATTTACTAATTACTTTTCAGAAGATACAAATCTAAATTCAGTGATTTTTTAACAACCGGGTGTGCAGGATTCTTAGTCTCCTGTTCACAGTGAGCCCCTTCACATGAACAATACAATTAATTCAGTCCAATAAAGACAAGTGTCTCAAGAACAAATTCACAGAAATAAGATAGTATTGTAAAATGTATATTTGTATTAAACGATTCATCTGTTACCTATGCAGCGTCATAGAAATATCAAATGATTGAGAATATGAAACACTACAGTATATATACTTATTATATATACTTAGTAATAATTGGTTGCTGGATTAAACACATAAAAAACCTATTAGAAAATCAAGATCAACCGGTTGACAAACCCATGACAAATGCATCAAGGCTTTAATTGACGAAACAATTTTCTTTGAGTGTGTTATTTGTTTAAATTTCAAGTAAAACTCTGTTAGTGAATCAACTTTTCTTCCTGTTGAGGCATCACTAAAGGAAGAATGACATTTGGCAATAATATTTATTTTGCAACTAAACAGCCCATGCTGTGCTTTAGGTGTAAAAAACAGTTAATCCAGAGTTAAGCAGTGGTGGAAGAAGAGCGTCAGGGAAATCACCAAAACCACACTGTGAACATACTCGTTCTTGCTTATTTAAAAACATATATTGTCTACACATATTCACATATGTTTGTTAGATTATCGTACATATTGTGACTATATTTCTGTACATTGCATATTCTTTTTTTATATATATCCATATTCATTGTTTCTTGATTGTGTATCTTGATTTTTTTTTATTTCATCAATTAGTTTAAGTTAGGCATCAATACACCCAACCACGTGAAACCCACTGCAATACAATTCTGATTCTGATACTAGTCCTTACGAACATAAACAAATAAACTTGACATGGTTATTTTAACAAAAGCTTTTGAAATGAAGGAATATTGTCATTAGTCTCATAAAAGAAAAACAACCTGTACATTTTATCTTGATAAGTTAAATGAATGAGAAAGCTTTGAAGTGTAGGGAAAGTTGTAGAGCAGAGATGTCTCTGAGCAGTGCAATAATGACTCATACAGGGAGGAACAAATATAAAATGTCACATAGTTTTCTCATGACTTTAAACCAGAAGTGGGCAGAGTTGTTAGACTTGAATGGTGTTGAGATGGGACAGATGTTGCTTTGGGTAAAAAAAACCTTTCCTTGGGAAACCAGCCTTTTACATCAAACACTTATATAGTGAAGGTCAGAAATATGCAAAACCTAATTTTAAGTGGGAAAGACTTTTATTAAGAGAGAAAGCTTTGAATCAAAAATATAATGCACACACTCATGAGGGGATTATATTTACAGTGAAACCACGGGCAGAGAGAGGGGCTATTTCCCCACAGTTCTCTGTTGCTGTTTCGCCCCTCCTCCAGTGAGCCAGCCAGGCACACCTTTCCTCTCTGGTCCTCCAGCGTTTCCTACCTTCTTGTCGGCTCTCAGCCTCGTTGTCTGGCGGTGAACTCTCACCCCAGCTGCTTGGGAAATGTCATACAGGCAGAGGCCCGCGCTGCAGTAGGGGGGGCGTAATAGGAGGAAAAAATAACAACATTTTTTTACTGCTCTCACTGCATCTTTTAACCGCGTCTCTGCCGTGCAAGTGCCACATCCCGCTACCAGCAGCAGCAGCAGCCGCCGATTCCTAATCGCAGTCTCAATGCTTATTTCGCATTAGGCTAATATAAAAAAAATCCGTGCCAGACATGTGAGTAGCAAACCATCGCTGTCGTCCTGACTGCTATGTGCTCACACGCTATTGTATCCTTACACCAATGCGAACAAATGGTCATTGAACCGTGTTGTTGTGCATTTAGTGTCAGTGTGCTGCTTCCACGGTGGCTGAGCCGGGCTCCCCGCACTCTGACGCCGCAGATGGAGCCTCGCTGGCGGCTTGTTTTGGGGGGCTCTGCGTCGGCTTGGCTAATTGAGCCAAACGCTGTAATTTTCGTGCTGTAAATAGCCCAGATAGAGGGAAAGCCCATTTAATCACTGGGCTATGTGATAAGTGTGTGTACTGTAAACTAGCCCGTTCTTATTTTTGTTTTCTACATTGATTGAAGGTAGCTGTGAATTGGTGGTGTGGAGTCCAGCCTGGCATCTCCAGTCAGATGTGGAGGGAGGCCCAGGTTAGAGCACACATAATGCGGCGGTGTTGATCTGAAATCAGTTTGAATAGCTCTGTGAGCCGAGTGGCCAGGAGATTTATAAATCACAGGATAGTCATTGGTGTGGCAAAGGATACATGAGATGTTGTTGTGTGTTTAGTTTTTTAGAGATCAAAACACAGTGTGTAAGATTGTTTTGAAAATGTGTCCTGATAATCCGCTCTTTTTTGTTTCATTCATTTAAAAATGCAAACACATAGTTTGTTATTGCCATAAATCACTTGCGAAAAAAGTCACTGTAGGCTATTCAAAAAAAGAAAACGATAGGCTATTGTTCTAATGATCATTTTTCGTATTTTTCTGAATATTTGTGAGTAAATATAAAATATGTGAGATAAAATATTCTCAGTGTAATACTCACTAAAAGTAATCTGTTAAATGCTGGTTTTCCTGTTTCATTTCATTTTGACATCAGATAGGAGAGAGTTAAAGGAAATTGTAAAATAGGTGAGAAAGAGGAATGATGATATGCAACAGGTTCAGGATTCCCTGTGTCCACCTATAGTCTTGCAAAAATAAGATACACATTTAATATTTACATTTGGCTAATGCAGATTTGTTTTGACGGTTTTAGGGGGGAGAACATGAAGCTTCTCTTGAAGGTGTCTGTCCAACAATCTAACTGGCTTGTGACGACGATGCCCAGTCGAAGATCCTGGGATTGATCCGTGAATCCCTTTAAACTGATGGCCTGGACTAAGTAAGAAGTTTGTGTGTGCCTGTTCCCTGAAGCTGCACATTCAGTGCTTTCTGAGATGGATAACTGGCATCAAGTTGCTGATAATGGTGGCAGTTGATGATGAGTTTTGTCTCTGTGTCAGGTTTCAGCTGGCCTGCTGAAGCTATGGGGAGCTGTTGGAGCTGTCTGTACAGAGACCCCATCCGAGACAACCATCTTACCAAATTTAAGGTAAACAATCCTACTGTAAATTTAAGTTCAACACATTTATTTGGATCTGATGCGTGATCATGTATTGTGATCATTGGTCTGGTACCCACCTGTTTACCACCGCTACATTTAGCATTTCTTTTCATGTGCGAGAATGCTGTCATAAACTAATCATTTAGATAGGGGTGTGAAAACACACATTTTATCACATCAAATGTTTGGACAACAATAAAATATTTGGACATATTATGCGCTTTTGAATCAATTCATTTCAAGGGCCTGCTATCAAACTACAAGTTGGTCTGAAAGTTACCTACCTATATACCTTTTAACAAAGAGAATACAAATGACACCTTGTTGTTTAATATAAACTGCCACCGTTTCTAATGTTTAAGTACAACTGTTTATATAACTAGAGCACAGATGTTTCTTTTTTATCTTAATGGTCAGGTTAGTCATGGTTCCTAAGTATTTTATCTCACTGGGCAATTTTTGGCATATGGCATGTACTTTGCCGCCCTTTCCCTGAAATCCCAAATATTTTCACACCGCTAATTTATCTCCAAGAGGGGAGTACACATCCTCCTTGTCTTTTTCACGGCTGCTGTTCATTATCTGGCTAGTGCTTGGATGCTAACACTGTTTGAATGTTTAGGTAGGAAATGAGTTTGGGCAGAAATGGTGACACAGACGTGCCATGGACCTTTAAAAATAAAGGTGTATCTCAAAGATAATGAGATGTATTGATGTTTTCACTTTGTGTCAATGATATTGCATCGTTAATCACTTAATCAATCCAGATCAATATACCCATTGTAATTTACATAGTAATGCAATAATCTGCATTTACAATCTCTTATGATCTATGTTATATTCCCTTCCCCTGTCCTAGGTCACCAATGTGGACGATGAGGGCAATGAGCTGGGATCTGGGATCATGGAGCTCACCCAGACAGAACTCATTCTCCACACACGTAAACGAGACGCCATCCGGTGGCCATATCTCTGCCTGCGCCGCTACGGCTATGACTCCAACCTCTTTTCTTTCGAGAGCGGTCGTCGCTGTCAGACTGGGCAGGGTAAGCAACTGTTTCTCTGCTTGTCTGTTGATATCTTTGTAGAGAATTCAGTCTTATTAATCAAGGTAACAGTGCATATCATTTGCACATGCAGTAGTGTTGTGGTTGTCTGCCAGCAGGTGTTCAGCTTCAGATATATAATTAACAGAGGAAAAGGATTTTGGAGAAACAAGCTGAGCAAACGGTCACAACAGCTTAACAGCATTGGGGAAATTCAGACTCTTAACATGTACAATTGAATTCTAACAAGGAGGAGTTCCCTGCAAAGATTTCATGATCCCACGCTACTCCACCACACCACAGAAATCCTTTTGTTATTGTTTTCATTGAGAGACCACTAGCTGCTGAAAATAACATAATGTTAATTTAAGATGTTAAATGACACAACAGGAATGTTGTTTTCTAGGGTATAAGGCCCTAACATAACTCTCTAAACACAAAGCAAATATGGTGTGTTATCAGCATTAAGGAAATTATTTGAACTATTATAACATCTATCCTTTAGCCATAGCTTCCCGTGTCTTTTTCAATGTTACTGGTGGTCAAGTGCAGCCTACCAATGCTCTCGTTTATCCTGTTTTCTTTTAGGAATATTTGCATTCAAGTGTTCCCGGGCAGAAGAGATCTTCAATCTGCTTCAGGAGCTGATGCAATGTAACAGCATCAACGTGGTGGAAGAGTCGATGATGATGAGTCGCAGCGGTCACACACCAGAGATGGAAATGTCTCGCACACCACAGACTCCCAACAGTGAGTCACCCCATTCAAAAATACACACACACACACACACACACACACACACACACACACACACACACACACACACACACACACACACACACACACACACACACACACACACACACACACACACACACACACACACACACACACACACACACTCCATGATATATATATGCACGAGTAACAAGAAAAGCTAATATATATAAACTTGAGATTAATTGTAGGACATGCATGCAATGCAGAAATTTAGCAGAATTTTTAAGGTTGTTCATCAACACAGCTAAACAAATTATACTGAGTCACAGGAACAAAAGTATTCTTAAACACCAAGTAAAGCAGAAACGGCCATGGGCGCTTCAAATGGCCTGTTAGTGCTTGGAAGTTGCAGCCATGTCTATTATATCTTCTGGAAGGTTGTATTCCCATGGGGAACCATGCACAATCCTTTGCAACAATCCTTGACTGTTAAAAGTTAAAAAAAATAGACATTTCATTTGTGTTATTTATTTCTCTGTGCCACTGTTTTTCAGTGTTGTAACTGTTATTCCCCTTTATTGGTGTCAAAATCAATGTTACTATGCCATGTTAGGTCCTTCAATTTGAGAAGATTGGGCTTAGAAAGTCTTTTAATTTAAAGTTTAAGAAGGTCTTGGACCCCTGTGTGGGTAAAAATGTTTCATTTTCAGATTCTTTTGATCCTAGCTTACCTGTTTAAAAGTAGAATCTTATCCAGCGGCTGTGGCACAGGAGGTAGAGAGTATTATTAGGGATGGTGGTTTGATCCCCAGCTCCTCTTGTCCACAAGTGCTTTGGAAAAACACTGAACTTTCTTTCTGTTTGTACAGCAAGAGATTAGAAGCTTAAGGGCTTCAAATGCAGCAAACAGAGTGACATCTGGTGGATTGCAAAACATATAGCAGCTGATGAAAATCTTCTCTGAAAGAATTCACACTTTGGTTTTCTCCCGTCTATGTTATTGTTATTCACTCTACATGTGCGTCAGTCAAGCTGCTCTAAATCACTTACAGTTGGTTCAAAATGCAGCTGCCAGGTTTTTAACAAGAACAAGCCGTCTGTTTTTGCATCCTTCCACTGGCTTCCTGGAAATTCAAAATTAACTCTGCGTGAGCGAGAGAGAGAAAGAGAGCGCACCGGTACCGGAGATCGTTGTTGTTAGCTTCTGGTGCTAGCGAGCTAGTGGCCGGGTCTCAAACGTTTGTCACGATTAATGTAAACAATTATTTCCGAGGCACACGTTTATATGATCATTATAGTTATAAAAAAATAAGAGAATAAATGAAAAACAGGTATGATATACTATATGACAGTAAAACAAGAATAACGTTTAAAAGGGGAGTGATTTGTAAAATATCCATAAAGAAATAGTAAATCTGTTTACAGTTCTGTTTCAAATGGGTGTTGAGAGATGTATCCATAGATCTCTTCATTTTGCTCTCAAAGTGCACCAAATTGATGCTTTTAACTTCAATATTAAAAAAAAAAATCTTCCTGGGGGGAGCATGCCCCCGGACCCCCCTATGTTAGGTCCACTCCCCACTTGTAAAAATAGCACTTTACCCCTGCTTACACCTATATGCCGTGAGCTGATTATCGAGCCTTCATTGTAACAGTCGCGGGTACACTGTGTGTGTATTTACGTGGGGATTGTTGCAGTAGAAAATTCCACTGTAGCGACCGGTACATTAATGGGAAACCCTAAATGTTTGAGCACCCTCTATGAAACGTCAAGCTACCCCACAGCACCCCCAAAAGAAATCTCTGGCACCGCCACTGAGCCTGCAACCCTGTTTTGAAGAAATGTGCAGTGCAAAACAGGCTCACTGCAGCCACTAATGATAAGACACACTTTTTTGCCAAATATCAGCATTTTCTTTCTTTTCATTTTTTTGCACAGATTGCAAAGTATTATAACTTATTGTTCTAGCAAAGAGATTGCACAATTGTATTATGTATTTTTTTTTGACCACACAGAGCATTGTTTTATTATCACTGTTCTAGCAAAGGAATGTTCACGTTCATATTGATGTATTTTAATAAATGTTAACTTGGCCCATTACGTGACTATTTGTGTTGGGGGGCCCGACTTTTTTTTTTCTCCAAAGGGGGGGCCTGACAGAAAAAGTTTGAGAACCACTGCTTTAGACCCTCTGTGTCTTCTAAAACCAGTCTTTATAGACAGGCCTTTTTCAGATCTCATCCCTGTTTTATGTTTTTATTTGTTCTTGTTTGGTTTGTCTCATTGTTCTGTGTTTTATGTTGTATTTTTACTTAATTAATTGATTGAAGTCTTACATAAATTAAGCTATACTTACTTATGTTAATATTTTTCAGCTCCAGCGTTCCCTGTTCAGGCTTTTCCTAATGGATACCCTGGTTATCCAATCAGAGGGGAATCCTCCCAACCCTCTCTTGCTGACGACCACGGAAATGGTCTCATGGGTTTGGAAGACCAGGTAAGGCCTCTTCTTGTTACCTAAAGTTCACTGCATTTGTGGTAGTTCACAACTTTACTTACTACTGTTTGTATTTCCCTCAATAGACCCACACCTATGTAAATACTGTTAGTATGGAGGGGGATCTCTCTATGCGTCACTGTGTGCACTCTCTGCCTGAGGTGCGGCCGAACCCTTTCCCTGAAACACCCCGAGGAGCCATGCCTGTCGGGGTGCAAGGAAATCCGCAGCCCAACCTGCGGTGCTGTCCCCTGGAGGAGCATAATGACCCTCAGGTGTTCTTACAGCCATCTTCGCAGGAGGTCAAATTCATGCTGGGCCCTACTCCGGCTCAGCGTCATTTGCTGGAGAGAGAGAGGGACAGAGAGAGGGACAGGCATGGCCACAATCCTCACAGTCTTCAGCCAGCAGAGGGTGCCACAGGCTCAGAGACGGAGGGAGACGAGCTCACCATGCACATGTGCAACTCTCACTCCTATCCCCATTTCCATCACCACACGCACCGGCACCCGGGCCCGGAGCACACGGACAGCTGCCAGAGCGGCGAGCTCACCTACGAGAACATCAACGGGCTGAGGAGCGGCCGGAAGCAGCGGCTGAGTCCCAGCAGCGTGTCGCAGTCTGTGGGTTCGAGCAGCAGCAGCAGCACCGGGGACAGTCACACCCACTCCCTCCTGCACCCACACGCCCTCGGCCCCTCGTCACTGCCCCCCCAGGGATACCCCTGTGAGAGGGGCATGGGCGGAGGTCATCGTCGGACAGCTCTGCTCAACTACGAGAACCTTCCCTCTCTACCACCGGTGTGGGAGTACAGAGCTCTGCAACGGGATGATGAACAGGAAGAGGAAGATGATGAGCAGGATGAGGAGGAATACGAGGAGGAAGAGGAAGACTTTGATGAGTATGAGTTCTCAGAAGGCCCAGGGACACCCAATGGGTACCACCAGGATGGTCGTGGCATCCATAGAGACGCCCTGCAGAACTACGTCAACACAGAGCAGGTCCAGCCGCCCCGGCTTCGACATGCTTGCCCCCCGCATCCGCGGTCGTGTCAGCCAGACCGAGGGGGGCGAATATTTAGCTTTGATTTCCGCGGACGGTCAAGGTCAGGGGTTGGAGGCTGTGAGCACGGCCACATGCCTCCATCGCGGCAGTTGAATTACATCCAGGTGGACCTAGAGGGAGAACCTCCCTGCCAAGTCCTCAGCAGTGGGGGTGCCCAGCCACAGCCACAGCCACAGCCACAGCCACAGCCACAGCCACAGCCACAGCCACAGCCACAGCCACAGCCACAGCCACAGCACCAGCGCCTACCACCCAAAAAATGTGGCCCACAGGCACCCCGGCGCAGTGAATGCTACGCAGTCATTGACCTAAAGAAGACCGCTGCTATGTCCAACCTGCAGAAAGCTCTGCCCAGGGATGATGGGACTTCCAGAAAGACTCGCCACAACAGCACAGACCTGCCTCTGTAAACGGTGTTCAAACTGAAGAGGAGCGACGAAGACAGATGAAGGCTTATCCTCATCTTAGCACACTGGACCCTTCACTGTCATCCATCCATTCAACTGTCGGGCTGACTAATACAGTACAGGTACCTAATTAGAAACTTCTGTGAATATAAAAGGAAATGAGAAATCTCTGAGGAGAATTTGCCATTTTATTCTGTGTTATTTATTAGATATGTGGTGTGAAGCTCTCTCAAGAAGTTGGCAGTTTTGACTGCAAATACGGTTTGCTGGATATTTATACATAAGCATAAAATCATAAATATAACTATGATTTTGTGCTTGGATATGACTTAAAGCAGAGATCTCTGTTTTCAGCGGAAGCAGTCATTGCCATATTGTTTTAACACATTTAAATTCATTAACCCATCTCCACTCACACACATTAGTGTTTATATCATTTAAGTATTCTACATCCATGTGGTTTTTACTTAAATATGATGAGTCACTAATTTGATTCTTTTCACAGAAGAAGAAGAAGAGTGGTTGTTGGCATGAAGGAAGGTTAATGGTTCCTCCAAGGTACTGGCCAATATTCATACCTCATCACAAGCATCTAAGTCTTACATTGTGGCTAGTAGAAGAGACCATTATTTGATACTATATGCCTAAAGAGCATTTTGCACACAATCCTATGGAATTGTATTTTATCATATTTTAAGGAATGGATGTGTCCAGTCCAAAAAAAACTGAATTAAATGGACAAAAGAGATGGTGATATTTGCAGAATTATTCTAAACTATGGTAAAAGTAGCACACATGGATTAAACGAGCTTTGGCTCCCTCCTATCCACATGCAGCAAATAAAAAGGTAGCATATCATCTTCGATCACCCCCCCCCCCGCACATCATCCCAGACCTGCAGGGGGTCCACATGGTTTACGCTTGTCACGTTGCACTTTTGACCCTTGGCCACTAAAACGATCGTGTCCTTTTTACCAAAAGCAGGGGGCCAAATATTTCATGGACATTCTTAGTCAGCATCGTAGATGGGATTTATTTACGTGTTTTGATGGAGACATCAACAACCTCAAATAGTGGCATTAAGCTGTAACCTCACATAAACAGAGATGAATCTATAATTTGTCAGTTATCAGGTGTGTGTTTTTTTAAAGAGTTATCAAGTCTACAGTGAAGATTTTTGTTAGGCTATTTATCAACCATAGTCAGATATTTATTTATTTATTTATTCATTCTTTTATTTCCAATTGTAATAATTTTGTTATCCATGTGACGACCAGCGTTTTGTAATCCAGTTGGTAAAACAGAGACCAAAGTTTCACCTCAAATTATCACTGGACTCTGGTGTATTACTGTAATAACTGTGCTTAATTATATATAAAAGAAAAAGGAAGACTGTATTTATATTTTAAGTGCCAAAACTTATTTTCAAACTGTATGATAAATAAAATCAATTGTGCCATTAGGATTTATAGAAAACAATAAGACCGAGGCATGATGAGGTTATAGAGGTCGGGAGACACACTTAAAAAAAGAAGAAGAAAGAAATCCAACTTTAAAGGATATATTCAAACTACAAAACCTGCACATTCCACCTCATCCACATCGACAGCCATTTGGGAGTGAGATATAAGAATGGAAATCTTGTAGTCTGATAATCACAGCCAGGGTGGTTTTATGCTGCTACATGTACATACTAACAGTAGCCCGTTTAAGCTACAGCGACTCGTCAAAATGAAAGCTTGTGTGTTTGAACCTATGCGATGTCGGATCTTTTACCATGTTGTTTAATTGCTAATAGGGGTAGCATTGTTGTCTTCTGAGCAGAAGAAAAATCTAATGTACCATTTCAGAGAATGTTTCTTTTGGCCAATATTTCATTTTGTCAATTGTTTTCTTGACACTGGCTGTGTGGCAGTGGAGGGGCTCAGGCGCACTGATGCTGTCATCTTTTTGTCGAGTGCTCATATCAAGGGGATACTTTCAGCTGACGGAGGAAGGCCAAATGTTCTAGATTCTCAGATTGTGGCATTAAGCTGTAGTTTGCAGAGATTGTTCAAGAGATCAAGGGGTGACGCAAATACAAATTCTCAACTTCTGATAAGGAGGGTTTTATGGTTTCTGTGTGACATCAGGTGCAAATCAAAGAGGATTTCTTGCTTCTGATCGATAATTTATTTAGAAAAACTACATACGGTATAAAAGTTAAAATCTCAGTTGATGATTTTCTGACTTTTTCAGTCAATAACATGTCCCATAATGCACAGCAGTTTCCTGATCTAAAGATATTACATTTCTAATGTATGAAACTGAAAGAAATCTTCATAAATAAGATGCAGCCAGCAGGTGTTTGTGCTTGATGGTTTCCAAACTATCCAATATATTACAAATATGTTCATGTGCTAATTAATAGCCTCGTAATTTCTTTGTGGATTTATTGGTTAAATGTTGGGTCCTAAACCCAAGGTGATGTCTTTGAAATTGCTTGTTTTGTCTGACAAACAATCCAAAATCACAAAATATGTTATTGACAAGAATGTTAAATATAATTGACAAGCGAAAAAACAAAATTGGCAATTGAGTATTGACTTATTTTAGCCTTTCTTGTTTAATGGCAACAACAATGTGACACTTCCCCACAGAAGCTTTAAATAACCCCAAATCAAAGGTTGATCATTTGTATTTTGGTTTGATCATCATACTTTAAAATGACATTTAAAGAAATAGGCCTCTTATAATAAGAAAAAGCCCGTTTTCAAGCAGAGATTTGTGACTGTATTTGCAGAGATATTGTCATTATACATTCGAAGGATGTTTACATTTTTGCAATAATAAGTGAATTATTTTTTTGTGGATTTCAAATCAGACCAATGTGTAAAGTGTGACATTTAAATAGTAGTCTATAAAACTGTGGGCTTTATGTATTTAATCGCCTGTTCTTCTGTGAGTCAGCAGTCTTATTTTTTTTCAGGTACGATGTTTACTTTTCAATCTTCATTGTACCATTTCATCTTTGAAAGTAAAAAAAAAAAAGATGCTTGTTTTTTTTCTTTGATTGTCTGACACTGTGTTTGCTTAAACTCACACTAACAGTGCCATCCAATTACATGTTATTGTATTAAACCTTTCAAATCAGTGGCAATTTTTCATACAAGAATCAGAAAGTGTTTCATCTAGTTTCTCAGAATATTGTTACATGTAGTTTTATGGTCTTTTATAAAAATTCCATGTTGAAATGTGTTAACTATCTTTGTTATAACGCAGTAACCTCACCACGTCCCAAACATGTTAACAGTGATCACAGCATCATTAACACATTCCTATGTTTACTGAAAGTAATCAAAATATATAGTTAAATAATTGTTTTTCAAAGAAATGTGACATCATTTCACTTGAGTTCAAATCAAGTGCACTCCCATCTCATAACTCATTGTGATTGGCTTGGTTGATGCTATCTCACACCGTTAGTTTTTATGCTCAAGGCGTTATTCACACGGCTTTCTCTGAGATTAATTAAGCAGAGCTCATGGGTATCCGCAGGGCAAGGAGCAACAAGTAGAGATAGCAACTCCTGTCATTAAGTTCCTCAAACTGAATTCATGGAATGGGTTGCTGAACACAAGGGCTTGCTCTGTGTTTACTGTACAAACATGAAGCCATGTAGTCCATATCAAGAAATGTCTCGCTGTGCCTTTCATATTCAAGCTCGAGAAACATTTTCTTCGCTGGTTGTGAGTGCGGCCTGTTTAAAAGAACAAAACACCGCCTGTTGAACGTTTCCAGATTGACAAATCCAATAGAGTCTTCAGTCAAAGTAGTTTTACGCTTCAAGCTGTATTTCATACTTTAAATTGTATTGGAAAAGAAGTGCCAACTCCTGATTGTTTTACACCATACTGTATTTTCAAAATGTTGTCAGTTTAGACGAATGTTTGCACATTTTCGGAAACATGCTTTCTTGATGCATTAGATAAAATCAATGCCACTCATGTCTCTTTGCTAAATATAGGGCTCAGCTCACAGAGGGATAACTTAAAGACAGGAATCAGGGGAAAAGTCAGGGTGGGTGTTAACCCTCGAATTGTGCACCTTGTGGTCATCGGCCAGCCAGTCTCGCAAGACTTTTTCGTAAATCATGTTATATCTGGTTTTATACTCTGTACACATTCACATGGAAATGTCACCGTTAAGAATTCCTCAGCAGGAACCACGCTACTAACAGAAAGAAAAGACAGTCTTGGTAGAAAGGTTTCCCTCTATAAGCAAATGATTAAATCAACAATAAGGCTTACAAATACTTATTATATCAATACTGATCAAATATTTATCAAGACCTACTTCTACATCAAATTGTTTACTCTATAAAAAGATATTAGGTTGTGATTTTAGGGGGCCAGCTTCCAGTCATACAACATTTTTTATTTGATAGATTCCAAATGTCAGTTTTATCATTCGTCTTTGCAAGATGGAGAAAAATGTTAATCTATTCCTTAAGGGTTTTCAGCAAAAAAATCAATGAGTTCTCATTTTTTGAGATTACATGCGTCAAGGTCTTTGGTACAATCGGTTTAGGGGATACAGTGAAAAAAGCCAAACTCAGTGTGACTGAAAAGGTGTTAAGTGACTTTGTCCTGTAGCAAATAACATCAATGAGTACATTACAGTGTGTTTTTCATTATAAAGTCACGTGGCTGTGGTGCACAGCATGATTCCTCATCAGCTGCCTTCTCAGTGCTGAAGTATGTGAAATTAAAATTCCTTTCAGATCTTTTTTTTTCTGATTTGTAACAATTCCAAATGTTTTGCATAAGTCAGATGAAAAAAATATGGTAAGAACAGAAACAAAGGCCAGCAACTCGGTTTGCACCATAGTGCTACACATCATCTTCATCAGCATCATCATTATCATCTCCATCTTCTTCTCTTAATACAGAACATCATTAGTGACATTGTAAAACCTCAACTTCCTGCCCATGCTTTGAGATATATCTCTGTTAAAATACTGAAAGTATCAGAAAACTGTAATATCTCTTTATTATTATATGTTTTTTTAAATCTTGTTTGTTTTTGTTTTTGTCGGTATGATGATGTGACCACCACCAGAGGGTGATGCATATGTACGGGTCTGAGCTGTACATGTTTGTGCATTTGCATACAGTTTGCATTGGCCTATCTTTGTGACTATTATATCAATTTTCAAATTGAGTGCCAAATATGCTCAAGCATGATAAAAACATGGACCTCGAGGATGCGAGTCTCGCTGCTGTTGTAGACTCTTTTTGTGACACGAATGCACAGCTGAAAGTAGAATCTTGCTAAATATTTTTGCTGAAAGAGGGAAACATTTTTTATTTTGTCTTTTGTTGCCAAAATATTTGTTGTATGTTTCTGTGTTTCTACCCATTGCTTATAAATGATTATGCAGTGAATATAAAACATTTGCTTCATTTGTTGGAGTGTCAAAAAGAAACATTTGGATCATTTTCATTCTTGAATCATTCCTCACAGATATGTTATCTGACTCTTCATCCCACCCTGTCCCAAAACAAAGCGAGCCTGACCTTTGGTGAATTTTACCCTGAATTATAGTGTGGATTTGTCCAAAATGTAAAAGTAAATGTAATTCTAATATTAAAATGAAGCTATGAAAATATCTTATTGCGCACTAAACAGTGTCTATTTTGTTCATTAGGTCAAAACTCAAAGAATCAATAGATGCATTTGAGTAAAACCAAGCTTTCCCCTCCAGGATCATGCACCTCTTCAGTACATTACAAGGTTTACAAGCTATTTTTTAAGGTATTTGTAAAATATTTGTGTAGAATATACCAGAACAGGCTGTTTAACAATCAGAACAGAACAAGTCTATTAATCCTTTAACACACAGGTCAGTTCAACACAGATATGTGAACACCAGTCCATTCTGGGCTGATCAAACCTGATCACTTAGAGCGGAAACGCTTTGTTTGCTCTGGTGTATTTATTAATATCTCAAGAAACATTGAAGACAGACGTGACCTGTTTAGATATGTGTCATACAATACTCACACCGTTGTGGTCAGTCATTCATCCTCCAGCCTAGCAGCTGAGACAAAGTGCTTTGTGATGGATAACTACCCTGAGGAGAGGAGTTATGTTACTGTGTGAACACTTTTCAAAGTAGTGTCTACAGCTGTCTAGCTCAACAACCTGCCCAGGATATACTACTTATAATCAAAGTGGATGTAACCATGTTTTCCATTTGAGCTCAACTCAGAAATTAAATTGTTATTTTATTCCACAATTGTTTTTGACGCTGAATATTAACTTATTTTGAGCATGCAATTAGTGCCTGCAGGTGTGTAAACAATTTGAATGATTTGATGTACAGAGAGCATGGTCCTTGTTAGCTCTAGAGATTTACAGCAAACTGTAAATATATGCCTTAAATAGTAGCTGTCTTGTTTTGTGTTCATATGTCTGTCTTGTTTTATCGTTATTGAGTAATTGTATCAAAGGAGGAGCCTCACAAATAAAGCAGAGCTTTTATTGTTTCTACTCTACTTGCCATCCCTAATGTTAAGTCTGAAGGACTTAACTAAAGCCTTTAATAATTCATTTTTCTATTCAGGACGATAGACAATGCCTGCATATGGTGTCATGAATCTCGCTGTACCCTGAAATATGATCATCTGACATTTCCAGTTTCCCCACTTTGAGTTTTGTCTACAAACAGCCTCTCACTGTATAACAAACAGTGGCAGGGCAAATACATGTGACAGGATGTTTGGGCGGGGCTGTACATTTGAAGGAGAAGAGATTTGATATAAAACAAATAGGTTATGCTTTAGTTTCTCTATTTTACATTAGACAGCTAGAATATAAACGGTAGTTATTAGTGAAATCTAACTTTACTGATGGCCCTATCTAGCCATTATGGTAATTACGCTCCTAGTGATTTATTGGTTAAAATCCTTGTCTTGCACTGTATCATACACTAGAAGACATTGAAAATACAAATGTCTGAGATTCACAGCGTCTTTCAGCCTATTGTTTCAGCCAAACATTGCTGTTTTGGTTCACTTAAGCAAGAAGCAGTGAACATATTTCCCTGGTGGAGTATGTGGAGACCATCAACTGAGCTATCAGCAAGTTAATATTATACTTAAATTCACAAGGTGGCCAGAAACTCTAAATGAATCCTAATGTCAGCTTGTAGGTTTGATCAGTGTCATTGTTAACCTGCTGATATTTAGCTAAAGTAAAGTTGGTTACAATGGACACTACCGTAGTTTAGCGTTTGTTAGCATGCTTAATGAAGCTCAGCGCAAGTTCTTTCAGGAAGACTGGGTATATACATTCACTCCGCAGCTGCATATAATCAGCTCATCACGGGCGTTGTCTATAACCTATTATATTCACCTCATTCTCCAGCAGCCAATCACTGTGCTGCAGCCAAACTTTAAAATGGTTCTCCTCTCTCCTGCAGTCAGCTGTGATTTCAGGTTTTAATGCTGCCGCCCGCCTTCTCCCCATCCACCTCCTTTCATCTTATCCAGTGCCAGGAGAGTTAACCCAAAGACCTCATCACACCTCCTCTTCATACCATCTCCTCATAAAATCCAGATCTTCAGCATCATCACCAGTGTCTAGACCCCGGGGGGGTTCCCTATATGCTCACGGCTGCATTTCCCCCTTTAGATATACGATTTCAGGATCGGGGTCTAATCCCCAAAGACTTAACATTTATCATATGACATGTGTCAATAAATGTTCTTTAAACAAAATGAAGTCTCTCCTGATTGAACTTTTGATAATTAGCAATTAACACAAAATATAATAGGGCTGGTTGAAAATGCAATTTTTTTTGTCATAAAACAAAGTATTGGATCACTAAAAATGATGACCTGCTGAGGAAAGGTCAGGGGATCATTGAGTTCAAGCATTTTCTTATCATGTCCATTACAGCGCACTGTGCGTCTAGCTAGAAGAGTATCAAGATGTGCTCTCTCATCTGCAGCTAACACATTCACTCAAATATACAAGCTGTTTTTCATCCATCCACAAAGAGTAACTTTAGCTTAAATGTTTAAACTGGATAACATATGCAGTATATTGTAATTTAAAGCATTATAAACAAAAAAAAATGAAATCCATCCATTTATTATCTTTGTTTAAATGCAACACATTACTGTCTCCCTATAATCAACTGCTGTAAAAGTGTTAAAAAGTCTTATCGCAACAGCGCAGTCTTTATTTTGGATGTAATTTATAATGCTGAGATAAGGGAAGCTTTATTGATGCCAAGGTGGTACATTTTAGTGACGCAGTAGAAAGAGATGTACAGTAAAGTGGATGACTATAAAAACTACAAATAACTCAATAACATAAAACTAAAAATAGGAATAATGTTAATAAGTAATATTAAAAAAAAAAATACAGTTAAAACTAAATAAATAATAGTTTGCCCTAGTAGTTTGAGAATAAAGATGTGCAAATGTTGCAAGGATATATAGAAGGAGTTCAAGAGATGCATATGTACATGTTAAAGCTGAGCAGTAGATGCCATGCATGGGAAAGACCTGAACAACAATATCTATAACATGTCTCTCAAGCTACAAATAACTGCACCCTATACAGGCTCAGCTGCTTTGCTTTAGTTGTTAGCAACTGCTAATTTCGATGACTCAATCTGCCTCTGTCTCAGTGGAAAAATACAGCAGGGAAGTGGTATACCTTGGACCTTTGTCAGAGCCAACCACTTTTTCAAGTGAGACGGCATGGTGTGCAGACCAATCCGACGGATAATTAGGTCATAGAGGAGCCAGAGGAAACCATAGCTACATTGTTTCTCATTCTGGCTCTGCTCCTGACATGTTGTTTGTGTAGAGATCCTGTGGTGCACCCAGCTGAGAGGAATACTGATCAGTTTGCTGTTGCTGAAAGCAACTCTTGGGAGAGGGGGCTTTGTGATGGAGGGGTAAGTACCTTTTTTGTTTTGCACTGGGCTGCTAAATGCATCACTTTAATTCTAAAATGTGTTCTGATAAGTGCAGCTTTCTGATAAACACTTGCTTGTGAAAACTTTCCATTTGTGATAATCCCACAAGATTAACTTCAACAAATAAAAAAACTAAGTTTATGAGGAAACAATCAGCTGAGTAGGTTTGTGTCTGCATAACCCAGAGCTACACAGCTTTGACAGATCCTTTTTCCTGTTAATGTGGAGGAAAGAGGGACATTTCTTTGAATCTCCTACTTGTTCTGCATATGTCAAGAGAGATGCACAAAGGAAACAGCATTGAAATGCCTGGGCAGGATAACAGTCAGTTGAAGAAGGCTCAGCTGTTGGATCGAGGCCAATGGGCAAACAAGGTGGAGTTTCTTCTGGCCGTAGCAGGGACCCTTGTTGGGCTGGGAAACCTCTGGAGGTTCCCCTATCTGTGCTACAAAAATGGGGGAGGTAAGCAGGATTTCCAAACTACAAAAATTATACATACTTTTCCTGTTCCCGCAAAGTGAAGCTGCTGCACCTAATCAAAGTGATGTCAAGGGATGAGGAAAAAGAGCTGTGACGTTAAAATAGATTTCGCTGATAAGGACTTGCTCAGGCGATATACAAAGCAGCTTTTTGTTGTCAGTAACTTTTTTTTCTTCCTGTAACTGAAAGCAACTCTGGCAACAAGGAGACCATTGTTTGTGTTCTTTTTTGGAAGATAGCCAATAAAATAAACGGCATTATAAATGTCATTGGTTAGAAAGTCTTGCTATGCCTCTTTAAACTCTGCAGCCACATTACAGCATTGTGTGATCTTTTAAAGTCACATTATGTGTCAGATTTCTTTGAGTTACTCTTAGATCTATGTTATAAATACTATAGGAGCCCACGTGGCCCACTCGTGGTTACCAGATGTTTCCCTGGAAAGGACAAAACCATAAAAGACATGAATAACATTCTTCCTGTTAAAACATTGATTGTGTAAACACTCTCTTTCACAAGATATCAAAAGTCTCAGAGCTTCAAAACAAGGATAAACAAAAACAGGGATGATCGTGTGTAGTGAGGCTCTTTATCAGATTCAAAGAGGAAACAGTATTTACATTTGTTTTTCATGTTTTCTACAGGTGCATTTCTGGTTCCATACGTCTTGTTTCTGCTCTCATGTGGTATACCCATGTTCCTCCTGGAGACGGCCATGGGACAGTACACATCTCAAGGATGTATCACCTGCTGGCGCCACTTCTGCCCTTTGTTTGAAGGTCTGTGTATAAAAGTGATCTGAATTTTTTTTAGTAGTACTGTACACAAATACATCTAAGTTTGTTGTATTTGTCGTGTCACCCGTTTGGCTGAACTTTTTCTTCCCTTTCTTCCAAACTGTTTGAAAATGCGAGACACATTTGACATGACATCTGTTCTAATTTACTGATGAATATTATGTCTTAACATTAGAGTTACATTTAGTCAGACTAAACTAAAAAAAGGTAATTTTTGAAGAAATTGAAATGGTGGATGTCGAGGCTGAGGCGTACCTCGCCTTCATCAGGCTCAAGTACTCTAACTCCTAACTTCTAATCTTTAAAGCATGAGAGACAAGACACCCTGCTGAAGCTGCTGTGTGAGATTTGTATGCGTAGGGTAAAACCTGCTCTTCTTCATTAGATAAGAAGAGCAGGTTTGAAAAGTTCTTGTTTTTCTACATTTGGATCATTCTATAATGATTTAGATCAGGTATACAATTCATGAAAACTCTATCCCTTAAAAACCTGGAACAAAATAAAACATTTCATTAGGATTAATAAGAGTCAAGTTCAGGCATTAGGCCCAGTATAGACATAGTTCAGTTAAACATGTGTGAGTAAGAATATCATGCTAAATTAAAGGAAATAAGTAATGTCATAAAGTACAAGTAATGGCTTATTTTCTTCTTCTTTTCTTGAACTTCCCCTTAACACATTTCGATTTTACCAGATTATTCTATAACTGCTATATAACATTAAGCACATCTTAAAAAATTACATTTTAAACACAAAAAATAACAACAAACCTTACCAGATGTATATTAACCAGTCAGGTATTAAGTGGTTGTTTACTTGAGAACAAGAGACATATAATTAATTGTAAATAAGCCGCTCAAAAATCAGCTGTAATAATTAACGCCTGTGTGTACTTAATGTTTCATGACCTGAATGATACATTTCACACAGGGGTGTGTCTGCTGCTGCTTGGCACTCACTGCTTGTTTGCATAATATCAGATCTTACTGTATGTGAGAGATAAGCAGGAACTCTGATACATACGCACACAAGAAATCTCCTCTATAGAGATATATTGGTCATACTATAAAGTGTTGAAATCTTTATTCCTACCAAAAACAAATCCCAAGAGGGTCAGATACTGTAACTCATGATATGAATCCCCACCCACCTGTTCTGTGCACTTTGTTATGCACACACTCCGGCTCACTGCTCAGGAATGATATGATTAATGTTAGTGGTTGATTATCATAAACACATTTTCTTTTCTTTTTCAATACTATTGTAAGTAAAATATGGTGCACTGCATTTCAAGTTATTATCGGGATTTAGTTTGAAACAGTAGAGTCCTGTTTACAAACTACAATGAGGTCAGTGTAAGAAGGTTAATAAGCCACAGTTTGGCGGTGGTTTAAGGGAAATTCTGCATTTTTAACTGGCCTGAAATCTAATCCCATCTGAGCACTGTAAGTGGACCACTTGATTAATATACGTGAATTATTTAAACAGCATTGTTATAGGAATGATGCTGTCCCAAGCTTTTTGATCCATAAGGTTGATCTATTTAATATTTTTAGGAAAATAAAACTGCAGAAAGTAGACTCTGTGGCACACACAAATCTTTAATACTTACACGTTTCCTTCAGGAAAATAATTCACAAATGACGACTTTTATTATATATCAATCAACGACAATTAGAAAGCTAACGTTATGCTTAAAAGGAACTACGTCGCAGTTTTGCATGACTTTAACGTCACCACTGCAGAGTAGATGAGTTTAATGTCCCTGAAAAGCTCTGTAGTCCCAAGTCAAAGCTTCAAAATTCACGATTGGGGTTTTTACTGGTGTAATTTTGTAGAACAAAACATTAAAATGCTATACATGTATAAAGAAATTATTTCCAGCATCTCACTAAAATCTCATTCAGGAAAACCTTTTGACTTTGAGATGTTGGAACCAGAAGAGCAGAAATGATGAACTTATTTTCAGGTTTTAGGACTCTAAACGCTCTCTAAGGTAAGGTCCACTGACATTGTAACATAACCAACCACCAAAACCCTGACAGAACAACCACCAGAGTTTTATTAAGGATTCAGACGTTATCTCTGCTTTATTTTGTATTTTATTGCCCATAATTATCCATTATCTACTTTGACCACACTCTTTATTTCTTCTCAGGGATTGGCTATGCTACCCAGGTTGTGATTGCATATGCGGCCGTGTCATACATTGTCATCCAGGCGTGGGCTTTCTTCTACCTCTTCTCCTCCTTCAGGGCTGAGGTCCCGTGGGCAAGCTGCAGGAACTTCTGGAACACAGGTAGACCTGCAGAGAGAAATGAACCGCGTGCATGACATGTGTGTCTTTGTGTACCTATTTCTTTACCTTGTATCTTCATTTAACAGCATTGATTTAAAAAAGCCCACAAGCTTGATGTGAAACGCATACAGAAATGTTGGTAATTTCTTGAAAACTGCTTGCATTCTTGATCAGCTGAGGGTCAATCACTGCTCAAATTTCTAATATATGTTTACTTTGTATTTTGTGTACTTTGCTTTCAAATATTTATCTACACTTTTACATTTTTTCCTGTTTTTATCTCAGAGACCTGTGTTGAATTTGGTAAAACAAACACGTCATCCAATTGGACAGCAAACGCAACAACGCCTGCAACAGAATTCTGGGAGTAAGTTCAATTTACAACTGTCTTTAACTAACTAATATCCCTTTTTATTGGAGTAAAAAAAAAACAGAGGTGCATTGGCACCCTGCTGTTTCTGTGTCTTTCTTTGTTGTTCCTCTTTTTGTAAAGAGAGTCTATAGCAGGTTACATGTTACAAACATTGGTCACTTGTTGATATCCTAATATTTTTAGAAACGTCCATCCAACGTAGGCAACCTGCAACATGTAAATGAGCCGAATTATTGTAATCTCAACAAAAAAATTATAATGAAGCATGCGTAGGTGCTATCTAAATATTGTAAGAGTATCAAACATGCCCAATCTACTTAGAAAATGCAAACATCCCCAAAGTGGTTATGTAACAACTTCACAAAATCTAGAAAGTGCCACTGCTGAAGAGACAGGCACTAAAACTAAGCCTTTCAGACAGAATCAGAATCAGAATACCTTTATTAGTCCCACAGAGGGGAAATTTGCATTGTTACAGCAGGAAAGAGCCACAGACAGCTTAATGTTAAGAAAAAAGTACTAAGTTATGATATAATAAAAAATATAATATAAAAAATAAAAGTAAAAGAAAAAATACTTTCCAAAATACAAATCCTGTAACAGTTCTTAGGATTTAGCAGCCAGGTATATATTTAGCAGCCAGGTATATATTACACAGTTATTAATGGCATATGTATATGTATATATTGCACATATAGCACATATTGCACATAGTAAAGTGGGTGAATACAGGTATGTTCAGATAGCATGAGAAAAAAATATATATGTAAACATGCACCAAAAATACAAGTGTGAACCTTAAAATGAGCATACTGTGTACTATTTAAAAATTAAGTGTTAGTCAAAATGTCAACAAATATTTTACTGTAAATCAAACACAGGAGTGTGTCCATAAGAAGTGTATGCCCTCAGAATGAGAAGTAAAAAACGGTGGTGCCTAACTTTTCATATATCTATTTAAATTGTATCCTGTACGTCAAGTGATGACTTGTTACAATAAAAACTACATTCCCATCAGCCACTTCTGTACTTTGTGTTCATTTCTAATTACCAGATTTAAGCACGGTAACATGAAACATTTTGAGTGTCAAAATGTGGTTTGCGTATAAGTGTCTTGGCATTAAAGTATGTTTACATTGTGTAAGCTGAAAGTACAGCATCACAGAGAGGCTGGCATGGCTTTAGTCTTGCTTCATGTTTCAAGAACAAACTTTTCTTTCACTGAGTCGGCTACTTTTAAGTTAAGACAGGCACGACATTGGGTCTGTCATGTTGAATTTAAATTTCAAGAAACAATATTTTACTTATTTTTATACAAAGTTTCAAATTTCCAAGCTATAATATATTCTCTTTAGTGTATCCTTTGCAACCTATAACCAGACTTTTATTTCCACAAATAATTTGGCTGTTACATACAAATGAATTTGGCAGCAGACACAGAAACAGGGTGTGAAGAATTGTTTTTGCAAAGTCATGGACAACCTTTCTAAATAGATAAGATGTAGGACATTCAATGCACTATGAATGTTGTTCAGGCGATAAAAAGGCGCCATTTTGACTTACTATAAAACAATTTCTCCAGAGTTGATACATTTTTTTATTAATGTCAAAGCATACATCAAAGGGAGAACAACGTTTTGCTATACGTTTTTCACGTTTTCCAATAAATAAATCCATGATTAATGAGGTTGAGTGATGCTGTTTGAAACTCTGTTTGACACTCTACACTTGCTGGCCAGCTTCAGAGCCAATAAAACCCTTTTTCGTCTTTCTTTCATGTCACATGTTGAGCTGAAAATTAAAGAATGTAAAAAGCCAGATTTAAAAATGTGACACAAAATCAAACAAATCATTCATTCATTTTTACAGGGTTAATATATTATGTCTGCAAGGCATCACTTAGGTGAAGTTGCATCACTGTTGTTTCGTTTTTGAAGTTGCATCACTGTTGTTTTAAGTGTTTCCAGAAACATCTCTATTACTTATTTCGATTTCCCCATGACTAAATACATTTGCTTGTTTTCATATGAATGTTTTGCAATATAGTTACAACACTGTTTGATCAGCCAAATGTATAGACTTCATTATCTTACGTAACATTATTATTTGCCTTGAAAAAAGTTCTCCACAACTGTTTTTCCTGGGCCCTGTTTCATCAACATTATGTGTTTCTTTTCAGGAGACGAGTGCTGGGAATATCTAACGGGATTGAGGAGATTGGCAGCCTGAGATGGGATCTGGCCTTGTGTCTCTTGCTGGCGTGGACCCTGTGCTACTTCTGTGTTTGGAAAGGAGTGAGATCTACTGGGAAGGTGAAGAAAACCCTTTCTTTAGAAGATGATGTTGGATTTTGTGTGTGTTTATTAGATTTGAGTGAGAATTCTGTTGAAACCTTTGGGATCACATTCCCTCTGTTGCAGCTTTTACACATGTACAGTATGGGTTATATGTTTAAAATAATGATACAAGAAAAATAATCCATACATATATAACGTATCAAAACACCCTCATTTGGTGTTTTGATGATAATGGTGCATAAACACATTGGAAATTCAAAATCGAAGAGGATGGGACCTGCTCAGCATTTTTAAAGATATAACAGGGCACTATAGGATACTTAAGCAGAACCTGAATTCGTATATATTTATTTTTCCCTAATTTCTCAGCAGTTTATTTGTTTTTAAACAGGAATTTAATTGACTAAAATGTCAAACATGAGTTAAAAGAACAACAGAAGAAGAAAACATAGAATGAATCAGAAGTTGTGTTAGGGGCCTTGAAACAATTACGACCTATTATCACAGCTGCCACAGCAGGTCACCAGAGCAAGGCAAATCTTTGACAGAAATACCGAAGCAGGGTTCAGGTCGGACTGCGGTCTCATTTCACTGTGGGGACAGAGAATGCCCCCCCCCCCCCCCCCCCCCCCCCCACTACTGAACTGTGTAAGCTGCCATGCTCAAATACGCCAATACAATGACAAATATGTTGTCAAACCTCATTTATATCTTATGGCTTTATATTTTTAGGTTGTTCTAGTGTCAAATGTAAAGATCCCCTCCATTTAAATATGTTTTTATGCTTATTTCCATTTAAACAACATGTACATACTTGTAGCAAAGTGTATCACTAAAGAGGGTTTGTTTTCACATTCCTCTGCCTAAGGAGGAGCGCTTACCTGGGATTTGAGATTCAACGGACCATGGGGAAGCTAGTTTAGTCACATATATTAGATCCTATCACATAAATAACATTGTTGGCAAATACACCTGAAACTCCCAGAGACTTGTCTGTACAGAGAGTTTAGTTTGTTCAGCTTAGTAAGGTAATATCACTTACATGTGACTCAAGCTGGAGGTTGTAAGGAAGGCTTCTCGAGAAGAGAGGGAGATACAGTATGGACGGGTTTTTAAAGTCATCTAAAAAATGTACGTTGAAATTGAGAATTTTAGATTTGGAACAGATTTTTTTCTTTAAAGTTACAGTTTGTTACTGATACAGGATATCAGGTGCAGGTATTGGTTCAAATGTGAACTGTACCAACCCTGTAGCAGAGGAGAAGTTTGGACAGCAAACATGGTCGCGTGTGTGGATGTAAAGCAGACCCTGGAGCTCCATTCTATATTACCAAAAAATCCCTCTTCATATTGTTGTGTTTCCTAACCACTTATGCTGTGTCAGCCACTAACAGTTACATTCTGACTAACAACATAAACAAATAGAGAGAACAGGTGGAAAAGGCTTCAAACTATATAACCACATTTGCTCCATGTTATCCACAAACTACCAAAAAACACTGACAGAAAGCCCCAAAATGTAACAGAAACAATCCCAACTGCATACGGGTTACAAACAAAAAGACAAATCCTTAAAAAGATTAAACGCACAACGCATACTGGTGGTGGTTTGCTGTCATTGTTTGAAACTTAAGCTATAACAGGGAGAGGTTTTATGTGTGTCAGATTGCGTGTCCGTTGCTGTTAGAAAAATATCACTCGACACCAGGTTGAGAATCAATGATCAGGTACTAATTTATTCTTGCAAGAAGGAGCAGAGTTAAATCACATACAAAGGATATGGTTTAACTCCCACACATGGGGTATGTTGCTCAAAGGAACAGCAAAAAACATCAGGCTTATATAGTCCCAAAACAGGGGGGGGTGGTAGTGGAGTACAGCCATGGATGTATAATAGTACATACGCGATTGTCAACGGGGGTGGGGGGTGGAGTACAGAGCTTCGTGACCGCAGAGCGTGTGAACGTTGTGATCAGCTGTTTTAGAGACCGACTCTGTCGGCGGTGATCTAACCGCCTTCTGGAAAAGCTACGTCGGTACGCAAATGCGCTTTGTGACACAAGTTACGGTACGCATTTCAGATTGTTGCCGCGCATGCGTACCTGCGTACCAGTTATGTGCACCCCTGGGTATGGTAACACCCACAAACAGACCTATTACACATAAAGATTTGATTCTATCACTTTTGGATGCAGTACAACTCCCTAAGAGAGTGGCGGTCTGTAAGTGTGCAGCACACACTACAGGGACGGACCCAATTTCCACAGGGAACCGAAAGGCAGATGACAGACTTTCCTTTTCCTAGTTTGCATGCTCTGTTAGTGCGATTAGTTCTGCTGCCTGTGCTGATAAGTGAGACGGCAATGATGCGCCCTTGAGTAGTTTCGTCTGCGTCACTACAGCATAAGTTCCGTCAAGATTCATTTTGCATGAACCGTCAACATACATTGTTATGTCTGCATCTGGGAAGGGAATGTCAGTCAGGTCTGTCCTTGGTAACACTCTGTTCTCAGTTTCTGCTATACAGTCATGTGGTTCCCCATCTCTCTACTGGCAGTAGTGTAGCTGGATTTAAAGTAGTACATCTCTCGATAGTAAGATTTGTTTGTGATAACAACGTAGCCATGCATGCTAAATGTCTAGCTGGTGACATATAGGTTTGTTTATTTTGTAACAATAGTACGGACACTGCGTGAGTTACTTTTAGAGTTAATTATCTAAAAAGCACTATTGTTGCAGATGCCTGTACTGCCATGGAGGCTGCTATTACTGCTTGTAAACAAATGGGCATGGCTCGAGCTATGGTGTCTAACTGTGAGGAGTAAAATGCCACTGGTCTATTTCCCCCCCCCCCCCATGCAGTTGAGTGAGTACTGACGTCATAAATCCATTTTTACAATCTGCTGTCTGAACAAAGGTTTTGCATAATCTGGTTACATCTATTCCCATTACTTTTAAGGTAACACATGGTTTCTTTACGTGAGCCAGCATTAATTCTACTGTACCTAATTCTAAAATCTCCACTTCCTCATCGGATGAGCTGATAGACACGTTATCTGAACTTGCTTCTGTGTCACTGTCAAGGTTTGAGTCATTTTGTCTTAGGTCATCTTGATTTGGGTTATCTTGTTTTTGGGTTAGTCTGTTCTGTAGTTGTTTCTGTTGTTTGACTTTCTACGTTAGCCTTTTTCATCTGTTCAGGGTCTATGTTTGTGTGTGATAATACATGATCTGATTCTGTAGATGCACTTGGCTTTAGTCATGCCTGCTCCACCCAGTCCTCCGTTCCCGTTACATTTGTTCTCGATGCTATCAATCAATTGTTGGCATTCCTCTACCACTAACCTCCCTTGGAAGTCGTATTTATTTTGCCACTTTTTTTTCCCTTTACACTCGTTCTATGCGATCACCTGCATCCATTTAGCATCTCCTGATATGATGACTATTTCTGTTTCTATCTTCTTCCCACGGGTCTTGCTGCAGCATGAACCCATAATTAGACTTCTATAGTTTTACCAAAACTAAGAAAAAGTTGTTCTATAGTCCACCCACGACCTATAAAACTCCCATAGTTTTCCCCAAAACTAAGTAAAAATGCCCTATAGTCTACGCATAAACTATAAAACTCACAACGGTTTTAGCAAAACCCAGAAAACTAAACTGTCCTAGTTTTCCCCAAAACTAAGTAAAATGCCTATAGCCGTACCTCGTACTATAAACTCACAATAGTTTTAGCAAAACTAAGAAAACTAAACTGTCAGTTTTCCCCAAAACTAAGAAAATACCCATAGTCATACTTAGTAACTGACTATAAAATAGTCGTACCTTGTATCCTACTATAAAGCTCACAATAGTTTTAGTAAAACTAAGAAAATGTACCCTATAGTCCACCCTCGAACTAAGATCCTTTATTTTTTTCCGAAAATAATAAAACTGGCCTCTAGTTTGACCCACAAACTATTTTTTAAAAGTACTTTAGCTAATATTACCTGTGTCTTTCTAGGACTTTTTTGGTATCCTTCCGCGAACCAGGGGTTTGAAACCAAAACGGGACCTGTATTGACGTTCTCTCCTGTGTCGGTAGTTCAAGGATCCGTCACTCCTCTCCTCTCCAGCGTAACCTGGCCCCCCTATTTACCAAATTGAAGGTAGGGGTCTTTTTGTAAGAGTCTCTTGACTCCCTGTGCACAGTGTCAGGCTCGTTTGCTCGGAGAAAAAAGGAGATCTTGGATCCGGCTCGAAGGACCAATATGTTAGAAAAATATCACTCGACACCAGGTTGAGAATCAATGATCAGGTAGTAATTTATTCTTGCAAGAAGGAGCAGAGTTATATCACATACAAAGGATATGGTTTAACTCCCACACATGGGGTATGTTGCTCAAAGGAACAGCAAAAAACATCAGGCTTATATAGTCCCAAAACACGGAGAGTAAAGCCGTAAAAGGACGGTGGCTGCGGAATGTCAGCCGTAGGTGAAGGGAAGATGGGACAACTGGATGGGTCATCTGTGACTTCTGGACTCCCAAATTTTAGGCCCATCTTCCAGCTACCTTTTTTATCAAAAGCCCTGGAGCGAGTAGTCTACGCCCAGCTGCAGTCTTTTTTAACCACGCATGGAATCCATGAAAAGTTTCAGTCTGGCTTCAAACCCATGCACAGCACTGAAACAGCCCTTTTAAGAGTTTTTAATGATCTGCTCCTAGCCGCCGACTCAGGTAGCCCAGCTGTCTTGGTGCTGTTAGACCTGACAGCTGCCTTTGACACTGTGGACCATAGCATCCTGCTGTCACGGCTTGAACAGTCCGCTGGCATCACAGGCTCTGCCCTTGCATGGTTCAGGTCCTACCTGACAGACCGTAGCTTCTCGGTACAGCTAGGTGCCTTCTCCTCTGCCAAAGCCCCTCTTACCTGTGGGGTTCCCCAAGGCTCGATTCTGGGCCCCATCCTTTTTCTACTGTACATACTGCCCCTAGGTTCAATACTCACAAAACATAACATTCCCTTCCACTGCTACGCCGACGATGTACAGATCTATCTGCCTCTCAAAGCAAATGTCACACACTCACTACAGCAGCTGATGGACTGCTTAGCAGAGATAAAATCCTGGCTGAGCAAAAACTTCCTCAACCTCAACGAGAGCAAGACCGAGGTCATCTTTTTTGGACCCCAACCTCCAGCCTCTCCGGTTGATATTCTGGGCTCTATCAAAAAAAACATCCTCCCCTCTGTCATGAACCTTGGAGTGACCTTCACCAGCACTTTTAAATTCGACAAGCAGGTCAGCACCGTAGTAAAATCCTGCTTTTTTAAAATAAAAAAGCCAAAACCAAGTCGTATTTATCTTTTAAAGACTTAGAAAGGGTTATTAACGCCTTTGTAACCTCGAGACTGGACTATTGTAACGCTCTGTATGTGGGTATGGACCAGGCCTCAATCAAACGCTTACAGCTAGTCCAAAACGCTGCTGCACGTTTGCTGACTGGCCACAAAAAGCGCGACCACATCACCCCTATTCTGGCCTCACTACACTGGCTTCCAGTTCGGTTCAGAATAGATTTTAAAATCCTTTTATTTGTTTTTAAAGCACTAAATGGGCTGGCTCCGGCCTATATAGCTGAACTGCTCCAGCGTTACACCCCAGCCAGAGCTTTAAGGTCTGCTGACCAGCTGCTGCTGGTAGTGCCCAAGACCAGGCTCAAAACCAGAGGGCACCGAGCCTTCGCAGCAGCTGGCCCTAGGCTCTGGAACACTCTGCCCCTCCATGTGAGGTCGGCCCAGACCCTAGGGGTTTTTAAATCAAAACTAAAAACACACTTCTTCTCTCTGGCTTTCTAGTTAGAGCGGAGCACGACTCCTGACTTTTCCGTGTGTTTTATTTTTATTTTGTTTTTTAAGATATATCTGTTGTAATTTATTGTCGTTTATTGTGATTTGTAGTAATGTGTTTTTATTACATGTACAGCACTTTGGCTCGACCAAAAATCGCTTTTAAATGTGCTATATAAATAAAACCTGATTTGATTTGATTTGATTTGATTTGACTTGACTGTCTCCTCAGAATAGGACAAACAACCTGAAATGAACAAATAAGTCCCTGCCTCCTCATAATAGAACAACAACCTGTCTTCTGTTATCAACAGAGGAGGCAGCTGCAAGGTTGTACAGTCTCAGAGCCACACATGATATCAGTGCATTAAAACAACCCAAAGAGTGGAGAAAACAGTATTTCTCCAACAGTTGCACATTCAGGAAATAATATCCGACAAATGTATCCTAGATCTTTTACATGTTTCTTTTATGTGACTCGTGTTTGTTATGTAGCTGTCCTGTTGCATCTTCTGGATTGTTTCAAATAATCAATTGTCATTAAAAACGCTATTTAAATGATAAACCTGCCTTTGTCTCATGTTGACAGGTAGTCTACTTCACAGCCACTTTTCCGTACCTGATGCTGGTGGTTTTGTTGGTTCGTGGACTCACTTTACCAGGAGCTATTGATGGCATTTCCTTCTACCTGTATCCAGACCCCAAAAGGTTGGTGGACCCTCAAGTAAGTAATTACTTCAAGTCATGCATTAAACCTAAGGAAAGCTCAGTGGCCTCCCACAAATACTTTAAAGTACTTCAATCTCACAACATGTGCTTCCACTTTTACAGGTTTGGATGGATGCAGGTGCACAAGTTCTTTTCTCTTTTGGGATTTGTCAGGGGAGTTTGACAGCTCTAGGCAGTTACAATCAGTATAACAATGATTGTTACAAGTAAGTGCTCTCTGTGTTTCTCCTGCTTTTTGGTTTTTTAACGCATCACTAATATGAGGCCTGAGATTGTAGCAGTTATATTTACTCTTTTTTTTGTCAAACCTACTATCATGGCCTAAAAACGTCTGCTACATTGACTTTAACTAAATGTATTATGTCAGCAAACTACATTGTATTAGGTTGGGTGAAAGCAATAATATTAAGTTTAAATCAAAATATAAGGTTAAACTTAATACAATTCAACTAACCTAATACAATTATGTTATCATTTGTTTATATAATAGAGTTAATTAAAGTCAACGTTTCAGTTTTTTCAGTAAGTGTAGACATGTTAGGTGATTTGTAATGCTGGCATACCTTTGTTTTGAAGAAATATAAGGCATCTCGGTGTAAACCGATTACATTTCACTCCTGTATATTAATGCATTTGAATATCTTTTATATTATCGTACAAAGACTCATTTTCTTCCCAAACAATATTTATTGTCTTAGCTCGGTATTGATTTTAGATCATGCTCTATTGTTTTCTTCTCATTATGACATTATGTCACAATTCCATTAGTTATAAAACAGAAAACTAAATTACCAAAGAGTCAATCATTATCTAAATACTTTTTTGTTTTGTTGTTTTTCTCAGGGACACGTTTGTTCTGTGTTTGGTGAACGGCGCGTCAAGCTTTGTGGCAGGGTTTGCAATCTTTTCAGTTTTGGGCTTCATGTCCTACGAACAAGGAGTGCCAATATCTGAAGTGGCAGCTTCTGGTAAGATCCCCAATACTCTGTTACAGTACATGCATTACAGTACATTACCATCTAAAACTAGTTATATAGACAGGGTTGAGATCTAAGAGGTTGTTTGTGAAAACATTTGGAACATATGGATGCTTTTTTCATCATATTCCCTCACATCTGAGTTTGCTGTAATTAACAAGATACCAAAATCAGCAGAAAATAGCGGTCCACACTCCATGGAGGCTTGAAGAAAATAGTAACTGATCATATTTTATCTTCTGCGTGATTACACAATAGGAGGAATATTGTCTATGTAAAAGCATTCTTAATGTATTCACCATTCCTCTCTTTGTTCTCATTCTCAATTACAGGACCCGGCTTGGCATTTATTGCTTATCCACGTGCAATGGCCATGATGCCGTTCCCTCAGCTGTGGTCTATATGTTTCTTCGTCATGGTCATCTTGTTGGGCGCAGACACACAGGTGAGATAGTTTTAAATCCTCTAATTAGTTTTATTATTAAAACAGTTGTTGGTTGCAGCTTTTTGTGTGCTCTGTGTCTCTAGTTTGTGAGTCTGGAGTGCCTGGTGACCTCCGTGACAGACATGTTCCCCACCGTGTTTCGAAGAGCTTACCGTCGAGAGTTGTTGCTGCTTTGTCTCTGCACCATTTGCTTCTTTCTCGGCCTCCTCCTCGTGACAGAGGTGAGAACCTTTGGGATCTGAACATTAAGCTTGGTAAGTTATTTTTGTGCTTAATGTGCGTTAACAATCCACCTTCTGTCTTCCTGCAGGGAGGCTTATATTTCCTTCAACTTTTTGACCATTACGTTTGTAGTGGCAGCAATCTTCTTCTTCTTTCAGTGTTTCAGTCAATAGCAATCGGATGGATATATGGTGAGTCATTATGGTTATCCTGACTAAATCAAACAATGTACTTAATACAGATGTTGTTTTATGTCCATTTAAATGATCTTCTACCTAATTATAATATGTCTTAAAACGTTGTGTCGCTTTTCATTATGACTCGGTAAAGTAAATTAAAGTAAAGTAAAAAAACAAACAATTTTAATGAAAAACTAAAATAAATGTGGTATGTTTTTCCGTTTCGTAATGTTTTATTCTTTGGTTAGTGATGTTTTTGGACTGGCTTACCCAACCAGAGCAATGTACCTGGACTTGTTTATAACTGGAGAGAGATGAGCTGTGTGAAGGCTGGCACCTTCAGCTGCATGTTGAGCGCTGGACTAAGGGGTTGATTTAGGAAAGGATGGTGTCTTGGACATTGCTAACTGAAACGGCTTACACCACATGGTGTGGTATCTACATTTGTTAAAGGACTGGTTGCAAAAAATTATCAAATTTCCCTCTAAATGATTTGAAGTAGTGGGCTAAAGGAGATAGTTTTCTTCTCTCATTTAAAATCAACCTCTTTTTGGAGAGGCAGTTCGTCGCAATCAGACCTTTAGTTTTGCTTAGTGTCAAAAAGGATGTTTTCCCTGCATCTGAAGGGTTAGGATACCTTGGGTCAAAGGTTGGATTTGGATAATCTATCCTCCTCATTTCCTTTCATCTCTCCACTATTGCAATCTAATAAAGGCATAACAACTCACCCAAAAAATCTCAAAGAAAGATTTGTGTGATAGAAAGTGTTGTTAGTTCAATATTTAAAAAAACACTTACAAATCCATAATAAATATATATATACATTAATCAAGTATATTTAGTCTTTGTTGGGTTGTAGCAGCAGAAACATTGGCCTGGTATCTTATCACAGATATACTAGCATTTATTTTGTTGTCTGCAGATAAGAAATGGTATAACATAAAAATGAGGTGTGGTGCTTTTCAGTGGATTTACTAGATTTTGTCAACATTTACGTTCCTTTGTTCTCCCTACATTCAGCTTTCACTCCTTGTTAAGCTTGTTTAAGCTTGATGGGCATTAGATCCCCCTGAGGAGGGGAGTTTGATCTCTTTGGCCCTCTTGAATGAATGCAAAAGATGTAAGAGAGCTCAATACATTCACTCTAGAAAAACAAGTCCTTCACACTGCCTCCTTGTCAACAGGGATTTAAATGCTTCCTCAGAGTTGTTTGGATAAATGTGAGAAAATATATATGTGGTGCCACCTATAGTAGGATAAATATTAGAAATGAAACATTAGCACCCACAATACTTACTCTTAAATCCCACCGGTGTCCATTTACGCACATACCTGGTGTGAAGTCAAAGGAGTTATCAGCATAGCACATCAATTCATGTTACATCATGTATATGTTTATGTTCATTTGTTATGTACAGAGTTAAAGTTTAATATCTTAATATTTCCCTTTTGATAACCAGGTGCAGATCGTTTTTATGACAACATTGAGGACATGGTAGGCTATCGTCCGTGGCCAATAATGAAGTATTGCTGGCTTTACATTACCCCGACTGTTTGCATGGTGAGTGAAAATGTTGCTTTGATTCCCATCTAAAGTAAAATATGTGTCCTATAATGCATAGTATACATGGCAAAGTGAATGAGCATTTTCTGTGATTAAGGCAGTAAACAATATTTTTTTCCTACTTATTTTTGGTCTTTAACATCATATTGAATGATTAAATGTATTAGTGGGTTTGGGTTACCATCGGTCTTTGAATTAAAGAAAGTTTCCTGAGAATTGAATTCAGACATACAGGCTACATTTGAGAGGTCTGAGTTTGGGTGGATAGGAACACTCTTTTCTTTGAAGCTGAGAAAACAGTTGTTTGACAGAAATGTATTTACTGTGAGGTAAAACAGAGAGGAAAGAAGGTAGAGAAGCATATGGCAGCTGCTGTGCTTATGGTATATAAAACAGGAAACCTGATAAGTTCACATGTTGACATTTAGCAGAACAAATATTGGGCTTTTTATATTTTATTTTTTCTGATGCACCTCTCCCTAATAACTTTTTACATTAAACTACCTCTGAACCAAAATGATGGTGGAGGGAATTAAATGTGTACCTTACAAATACTTGAGTATTACATATGAATATAACATTTTAAAAGTTGGAAGATTGGGGAATTCAAAGAGAAATGGCAGACATTTTATCAAAGCCTGATGAACCCAGTGTCATCAGTGGGCGACAGACAACATGACCCCCCTCACAGCCGCCACTCTCATTTAAAATAAATACAGTCTAATAAACTTGAGAACACTTCCATGTTCCAATGAGAAAATGTTTGATTACCTATACGTCACTGTCGAAGTAAAGGTTTGTAAATTTCACTGAAACTGTATACAAATAATAATATTAATTGAATTATTTTTATTTTTATCGTGTCAGAGTACCTTCATCTTTTCACTGGTGAAATACAAGCCTCTCAAGTTCAACAAAACCTACACCTACCCAAGCTGGGCTTATGCTCTGGGCTGGTCTCTCGGATTGTTCTGCGTTCTCCTGGTTCCTCTGTGGATGTTCTTCAAAGTTATCCAGATGAAAGGGACAATAGGGCAGGTATGTACTCAGCAGAGAAAGACAAATATTATCACAATATTTGATGTTATCAAGGGCTTAAACAATATTTCCCTCAACAGAAGACGAATTGCAATTTTTTTTTAATGTATTTATCATTTGAATTGTATTTCTAAATGAAAATTTGAATATTTACCAAGTCATTCATTATAAAACTTAGTATTTTTGTTTGCCTATATATACAGTCTATGGCCTAAACATGCATTTTAAGTGTTTACATTTAATGGTTGTGTGGTAACCCAACTAGCTTTTAACAGTATTTAAAACATGTTATCGTTGAACTTCTCTATTTTTATGAAACACTAATGCAAATAATGAATCTATTACTTGTTGTAATACTGTCCTCCTAAGTCTTGAAATGTATTTTATGGTTAATAACTTTCAAAAGAAGCAGCAGTATATATCAACAAGGCCCTCAAGGCATGCATGTTAAGTAGCTGCAGCTGCATGCATGTGCCAACCCAAATACTTAACATGACACTAATGGCAGAAAGGAGAGGTGTGGCTTTTATAAGTTGGCTCTCTTTGCATGTTTCAGCGTGTCTAAGTGCTGCATTTAGGCTTGAATTGCATTGCCATCATTTCATTTGACATGTACTGTAAGTCTGTTGATCAAAAAAGCGTAATATTATTAAGTGAAAATACCCACCACTATTCAACAAACAGATATTCAGATTGTGTGTTTGGCTTACCACCATGTAAGACGGAGAAAGGCATCAAGACTTTTTTTGTGAGGCTGAAATGAAAAATATAGAGAACTAATTGTTTCAACATTAAAAAATGATTTAAAAACTATTCTGAACTAGTACTAGTCACAACAGCACTAATTCAGAGTACTTTATATGGGGCATTCGGCGAATTAGTACAAAGTGCGGTCCCACAACAAGAAAAACTATTTAACAAAACAATTAAGTATTCAGACATAGATATTTACTAAGAATATGTTATGGTCTATTTAAACACAAAGCATTACATTAGATAGTGATACGCTTAATATATACAAAAACATCATTTATAGGGTACTTTCTATTGGGAAGTAGCTGTCCCGAACCCTGACACCCTGACATATCAATTTCTGTAAATAACACTTAAAACATTTCTTTTTAATTTAGTTCAATGGTGTATTTAGAAGATCTTTATGATTACATTCAAACAGAAGTTGGAATATTTAGATTTATTGTGGGTATCATTTTTTAATAAAAAAACTATACTCAAAAAATCATGTCCCCAGTTTTCATGTCACTACCGAAATACAAGAGGTGCGTTCACACCGGAGTACTTTTCCCCGTACTTTTCCCCGTACTTTTCCCGTTTAGTTCCGTTAGTACCCCTTATGTTGCGTTCACACCAAAAAGAGTACTTTTACCCCCATTTTTAGTGCCTGCTAGAGAGGTGGTACCAAAAAAATACCAAAAAAGTACACATTTTTATTGGCTGGGCGAATTGCAAACCACGCCCCGTAAAACTCTGAAAGGTTTTGTGAAGCCGCCATTGTATTTGTGGCATTAGCATTATTAGCATTAGCATTAGCCCCGCGCACCAACAGAGAGAGAATAACTTATGGCAACACAAAAAAAAACATGGGAGCGGTGGAGTGATGAGGAGGTGTCGGCGTTCTGGCGATTTACTCGGAAGGCTTCAGTAGAAGCTGCTGGGAGTCCCAGCAGCTTCTACTGAAGCCAGTCCCCAACTCCAGGGACTTACGGCCGGGGACTTCGGGCGGCAGTATACGCCGTGAAGTTGTTTGCGGCCTGCCAGTAAACCCAAAGCAGAAGAAGAAGAAGTGACGTCAGTGGCTCATTTGCGTAATCTTCCCTCAGGGAACTTATTCCGGTGTGAACGCGATCTGGGGTACTAAGTGCCGGGGCACTAAGTGCCGGCACTAAGTACGGCAAAGTACTTGGTGTGAAAGCGGATAAGGACTAAAAGTCCGTTAGTGCCTGGAACTTTGCGTTCACACCAAAAAGAGAACTTAGTTCCGAGAACTTTTACCCCCATTTTTAGTGCCTGCTAGAGAGGTCGTACTATCCTGGGGAGAAAAAAGTACCCATTTCGATTGGCTGGGCGAATTGCAAACCACGCCCCGTAAAACTCCGCCATTGCATTTGCTGGCATTAGCATTATTAGCATTAGCATTAGCCCCGCACACCAACGGAGAGTGTTCCTTGTGGTTGCTGGCCTAATTTGTCACTTTTAACCATCCATTTTTTAGCTCACGTGACACAATGTCAATGTTACATAAGTGAAGGTGGGGTTGTGATTCGGCTATAGACCGCCACCGCGTAGTAATAAAGTTGAGCGCATACATAGTGAGACCTACAGTACAGAGACGGTTTAGAAAATATATTAATTTTACCCTATAGAAAAGGTGAGTTAGTTATTGCGGCGGAGAGTGAGTTTAATTTATAACGATGTATGATGAGTGAGGTTGTGCCAAAAAAAAAAAAAAAAAAAATTACTGGTAGAAAGCCTTCTCTTCACTGAGCTCACCGCTTACATGCGGACGCTCCAAAGGGGCGTGGCCACTGCAGCTCCAAAGGGGCGTGGCCACTGCAGCTCGATTACATTTAAAGGGCCAGACCCAGAGTCAGCACTTCTATAACAGGGCTGAAATAGAGGGGTATGAGGCATGGCTACAATGGGTGATCTGTTTGGTATTTTGAGCAAAACAATTCAGAGACATGTTTTGTATAGATATGGTCCTATAATATACTGTTCAAATATAGCATAATAGGGAAGCTTTAAGGGGCAAAAGGAGCAAGCCTGTGAAAAACTTAGGGCATCCAGTTCAAGAAATATTTCACACCATTTGTGAAACTGTTATCATTTTTAACAATGTGTAACAGATGAATGAGGCAATACTTTATTACATAGGAAGAAGCATGTAAGTCTGTTTGTGTTATGATTCCCATCTTTCCTGCACATGTTTCTGCTGACTCGTATCGGGGAAACCTACAGCACTACACGTTAACATGTTGTCTTATGTGGACTTTTGATTGTCTCTACAGAACCTAAGGCAGCTTTGCCTCCCTGAAATCAAGACGCACAGCACAGCAAAGCAACCCGAGCAATGCCCCTTGAACCCAGACAACAATCTCACATCCGCTGCCAATGAATACAAAGCAGGTGGTGGAGCTGAGATGGAGATGCAAATGTGAGAACTGAACATATTTGACAATGTTTTAAAAGTGATATTTTGTTTTCACGAGCTAAGCATTTTAAAGAAATTATGATGAGCAATACATTCTGAACACTTCCAGCAGTTTCCTGCACAATAAGCACCAAGTCTTGTTTTACTGTAAAATGTCTCTACTGTAGGCCTACATTGTAAATGACAATATTGAAAAGACTGAGTTTTAAATAAGGTATTTTCAGTTAAAGCGATCTAATAATGTGTCTGATTACGTCATCATTTTCATGTTTCAGTATGCCATAGACAGAGGATCAAGAGATGCCAATCTTGATTATCACTGCCCACTAACATGCACTGTTGCCACACATCTTTAGGAAATTTCACCACCTGAAAAACATTGTTTTAAATCTCCAGCTCCACAGGTAGTGGCAGCTGATAATATCAGACAATGCAGAAAGCCTTTATACAGAATTAGTGTAAGTGGTAATTGTTGCCTTTTTATTATTTGATAGTTTTTATATATTTACACACATATGTTTGAAATGGTTTGCCTTTTTATTTTCTGGCTCTTTTGGCTTTATGTTCTATATTTTTATGCTGTTACGTTTATTCATCTGCATATCATTAGCACATGAGAATTCACTGGGGACCATAAGCATAGTATTCGTTAAACGATACAACAGACTTACGATTGATACTGTTTCTGCTGCCTAAGTACTTGCTGGATTATTGCTCTGCTCTTTAGGTGGTTTCTGCCAAGTTTAAATGAAAGTGAGACTGAAGTCAAGTCTTATTTATTTTCATCACAGAAAATAGAGGCAAAAGGTTAAAGAGTAGCTTCTTTTACCAGAGGCCTTTTTGAAAGGAAATTGTGCACTGAGACTTAATTTCCTGTATCTGTGTCAAGTGGATTTTGCCACTGAGGTGCCTGAAGTCCATTAACTCTAATGGGAGAAGTGAACATGAACACAGATTCTTTCACTCTATAGTCGCCAAAGTAATTATTGGACCCATTTTTTTATCATCCCAATATCTTCCCCACATTCTGACACTATAATGGCATTTGTAGACGGACAAATCACGGGTAAATTAACTTTGTTTGTGACCAATTGATGATTTTTCTGTACCAGTAGCACATCTGGTAACACAGAGTGTTAATGTTAGTCAAGCTTTCAACATTTTAAGCTGACATCAAAATGGTAGTTGTTACTTGATAACAGATTACGACTTTTAGCACATGATTGTTACATTCAGCAATTTAAATAGCTTCCCTTATTTCAGGTATTTTGAAAACTTCTATTTTTTACCCTGATTGCAACAAAAAAGCTGTGAACTGTAAGTTATTATGTTCTGGCTTCTTCTGCATAGCAACGGCTGCTAAGGCTCATGGGAGCTGTAGTACTTTGAGTAATTAGCCATACCAAGCTCAAAGAAAACAAATCTCATGAACTAAGTTTAAATGTATACTCTAAAGTATAATTACATTCCCAGAGTTCATTGTGTCTGTGTTAGTTATCATTATTCAAAAGAAATTTTGGTAAGTATTTCTGGACCCACTTGCCCACAGGAAATGTATTGTTTGAAAAGATGTCTTCAATTAGTTTTCTGTAAACAAGATATTAAGATATACCTCACTGTCATACATGCACACTTTTTGGAAGTCACACTTTGGGACCCCACTGTAGTTGTTTTATTAATGTTGTAGAAATTCATGACAGCTGAATCCCAGAAAACTTACTAAGAATTCTTGGCAAAACTCAGAATGTATTGAAAGGAAAGTTACGCTTAATTTATTTCTGTCCTTTTCAACTTAAATAAACATATAAAAAACAATAAATAAACAATAATAGGGCATCCACTATAAACTTTTTACATTAATTATTTGTTCAATTATCATTAAATGTATAGACTGATGATGATTAACTACAGCTGCTGAAGTATGAATATGCTCAGACATAACATGTGTTAGGACAATGTTGTAACCATGTTGCACCTTAAGTTTAAATCAATGTAAAAACTGCTTCTTTGAGTCTTAATGTCTTCTTTGATAGAAGTTAGAATTACAGTTTTATTTCCAAACACAAGTTATCACAGACATTTTGCACTTTTTCACGTTGACTTTGTATAAAAAATGTAAAAATGTTTCTGTAAAATCATATCAATGCTACAAGAAATCAATAAATGTTATATTGTGGGGATTCTGAAATAATTGTTTCCATTGTATTTGTACGATACATAATTAAAATAATATTGTTTTTATTGTGTATTGTTCCGGGCAAGAAGTCATTACTTTTTTTTAAATTTGTTTTCCTTTTACTGAGTACAGGAGGAACCCGAACGAACTTAACTCGACGTCCTTGTGAACCCACTCCTTTTCAAAGACAATAGCTTATATAACATCTCTTAATTGCAAACTGAAAGAAAATTGAAATTATAATATGATTGACAGTGGCAAAACATTAACTGAGTACATTTATTGAAATGTTTCCATTTCATGCTACTCTAGTACATATTACTTAAAAAATACTGTACATTTGACTTCACTGCATTTATCTGCTATTGCTATTTGCATAGTGTGGTATCATTACTTGTACTCAAACTCACATCAATGTAGGTCCTTTTCTGCCACGAGAGCAGCGGTTCCAAACATTTTTCTGAAGGAATCCCTTTTCTACCTTTATTGAAGTGACGACCCCTGACTCAAATAGATATTTGATATATGTGTTAATATTCAAGAGAGCTGTGCAGCCTTGGTGACCCCGAAGGAGGGTTTGATCCCCAGGCTGGGAAATAATGCACTAGAGATCTCTCAATCAAAAGCAATGACAGACAAAAGACCTCCAGGGTGAAGAGGTGTGGGATCATGGGAGTTTTTCATTGCAGTCAACTTCACTGTTTATTGTTCAAGACAATATTACTGGGAACCATATGTTCCAACGAGGTCTCCTCTTCTTTTTTTAGAAAATTGACTAGTATTTATGGTGTTCTTCCTGCAGAAATGGAAGTCAATATCCATAACTAAAATTGAATGTAAAATTCATTCATTAAAAATAGTCATTGTGTGTTTTTGTAGAATGAGCCCAACATATCTATATAGGAAGGTTGTCCTCTTCTGCAGAGTCCTGTTGCACCTAAACTGACAAACTGAACTCTGGATATATGAGGACCCTTTTCGTCATCTGGAGGCCCCTGCAGTTCTCAGACACGGTTCTAAAACTTCATGAATGCAAGCCGAAGTAGTTTGAAAGATGATCTCTATGCAAGGCGTAGGTCGTAAAAGCAACCCGGTATCACGGCAAGACGTGAACATGTGACGATCTACCATGCTGGGAGACGTGAATATGTCACGGTTTCGTCCCTTCAAACGTGACAGTTACACGGTATTGTTAACATGGCCCAACCTTATTATACATCCATGGGCCCAACCAGTGGAGAAATACCCGGAAGTGCCAAGCAAATGGTCTACCGCGCCTATTGGTCGGTTTTTATTGTCAAAATTAGATGTTTTTAATTTATTTTTTAATCGTCACACTTGATTTCGCCGATTTTCTTGTTGCCCTAGCTGGTCGACACCTCTTTTAACAGAAACAAAGGCTACATTAATGTATTAAATCGATGTTAATCCATGTGTGTGGATCATAGACTGTATAACAAGTCTGACAAACAGGAAGCACTGCCGCCAAAACTGAAAACGTGACGTGGATCATAAATATATCAGCAATTAAACAACATCTTACATTTCTTTTCACACAATACGTCTCCTTGCAGTATCAATACTAATTCGGCTGACTTTTATATTTGATCCAATTGGTAGATAGGTTATATTTACACCATAACAGTGCACAGCTGATAGAAAAGGACTTGTAGTTTTTAAAGATATTACTGATTTTCTTTGAATATAAGAATGTATAACTGAGTTGAGAGAATAGTCAGGGGATTTGGGTGATGGGAGACACATCTATGGATTCAGAATTTCAATAGCTTACTGTTAAATGACGGATATACCTTTCTGTCTGTGATGTTTTACAAATCAGATATTAGAAGTAAAACATGTGAAATAATATAGCAATATCCTGTACAATTATGTGAAAACATGAATAAAACTACACATCTTCAGATGTTATACATACACAAGTGTCCTACACTAATAATACAAAGTTATTATGGCTGTGTGTACCTTGTGTGCACCGCCTAGTGGTTAAAGCACGTTATTGAATTAGTTGTGTATATGATATGTCAATGAATTTTAGAAAATCTTGAAATCTTGAAAGGGATATGCAAAATAGCCATTACAGTATATACAGTCTTTAATTAACTATTAGTAGAGAATAACGAGTAATGAATATACTTTATAGGGATCTGCAGATAAATGTTTAGTCTTCTCAAGCAGCAACTATCAAATATCTCTCCTGATTGTTGGCACTTGACAATCACCTTTCCCTGAATTTTACTCAGGTGTAACTAAAGCCTGATTTAAGGGTTGTTTATATTTCACATCATTAATCAGAATCTGCAAAGTAACTAAAATAAATGTAGTGGAGTAAAAATACCAGGTTAACCTCTGAAATTGTAGTGGAGTAGAATTGCTGTTTTGTTTAGTAATGGATATTGAATATGGAATAAAGGTTTTGACAAGACCTGGTGTAACAATAATCAAAAAGGACATTAAAAGAGCTCCAGATGTTAATGATCTAAACAAAACAGCACACCTGAAATGTATATTTAAATACTTTATTAAGGGCAGTGAATTAGTTATGTATGTATGTATGTATGTATGTATGTTTTTCAAATCAGTGTTATACAGTAAGTGTCATAGACAGTGTTACATTGCTATTATTATCCTTAAAATATATGTAAAACAAAACCACTTATGATCTTTTTATTTGAGTGGTTTACTAATGACAGTTAATTCTGTTTTTGCTATTGATGGTTTCATTTTTGTGAAAAATAATAAAATAATAAAATTCAATAACGTGCTTTAACCACTAGATGTGCCTTTCTATCAGCTGTGCACCGTTATGGTGTAAATACAGCCTATCTACCAATTGGATAAAATATAAAAGTCAGCTGAATTAGTATTGATACTGCAAGGAGACGTATTGTGTGAAAATAAATCTAAGATGTTGTTTAATTGCTGATATATTTATGATCCACGTCACGTTTTCAGTTTTGGCGGCAGTGCTTCCTGTTTGTCCAGAAGTCTTGTCATCAGGGCTCTATAAATACAGAACTACGGCAGATATGTCATATTTAATGCAGCCGAACCGTGTATTACAATGCCGTTATGTGATGACTTTCAAAGAGAAAAGCAAGCACGCTCGGAATAAAGTATTATTTTATTTTTAAAAAATGTTTTCGGATTTCACATCGCATAAACACCATTTCCCAACGTGCATTGCGGCTAAACCATCGAATCACCGAGCTGAGGACCTTGCCTACGTCTGTTTCCGGTATTTTTTATGACGTTTGTATTTTGTTATACACACATTCGTTCACATTTAAATTTAAATGTACATTAAAGTATTTCGTGAGGCCTTCTAAAATGTTTTTAAATATAGCTACGGTTCTAGTTGAAGAGTTTGTAAATTAACATGAACCGAAGCTGTTGCCTGGCAACGCAATCGCACAACGTCACGTCCGTTAATTCCACATCCACACCTTTATATATAGAGAGGCGAAGTCCCTCCCCTTCCGGTTGAGCTCCATGGGACCTTATTTCGGAAAAGTTATGCATTGAAGTCAATGGAGAGAGAAAGATTATCTTTCGATCCCGTTCGAATTGTGCCACGAATTACACATGATGTTTGTCAATTTAAAAGATAATTTTACAAGTTAAAAAAATAAAAATGTGTCGTAAAACTGTGAAGTAACACTTTTTTGTGTGAAACCACTCAATGAACTACATCTCCCGTCTCGCACCACACACCAAGACGGCCGTCACGTTGGCACATTTCACTTCTTTCTTTCAGAATGAGGCGAAAAGTATTAAAAGAGGTGAAAATCACTACAAGTCTGGGCATGTTGAGAGCTGTACATACACACAAGGGGAGTTAGTCGGTTCCGTAAGAGCCAGCATGCGGGACCGGGATTCTGGGATTTGTAGTCTTTCTAGTTGCGTATTTTTCATAGTCTTATATTTCAACAGTTTTACGACAAACTGTGACTTTTTTGACATGGAAATTATTATTTAAGATTGACAAACATCATATGTGTAATTCGTGGCACAATTCAAACGGGATCGAAAGATAATCTTTCTCTCTCCATTGACTTCAATACAAACTTTTTCCGAAATAAGGTCCCATGAGTCCCACCGGAAGGGGAGGGACTTCGCCTCTCTATACAGTCTATGATCCACACACATGGATTAACATCGATTTAATACATTAATGTAGCCTTTGTTTCTGCTAAAAGAGGTGTCGACCAGCTAGGGCCACAAGAAAATCGGCGAAATCGAGTGTGACGATTAAAAAATAAATTAAAAACATCTAATTTTGACAATAAAAACCGACCAATAGTCTTGGTAGAGCATTTGCTTGGCACTTCCGGGTATTTCTCCACTGGTTGGGCCATGTTAACAATACCGTGTAACTGTCACGTTTGAAGGGACGAAACCGTGACATATTCACGTCTCCCAGCATGGTAGATCGTCACATGTTCACGTCTTGCCGTGATACCGGGTTGCAACCCGGTAAACCCGTAAAAGACCAAATACTGCACACTGTCAATATAAAAATGTTCTTGATAATAAAAAAACCCAGATATTGTCTGGAGAATCGTGGTCTTTAGTTTCCCTTAACACATAGCACACGACTAGAAATGACACACTTTTCCCCACTGGAAATAGGCGTAGTCATTTTGGTCTCGGCGGGGGGGGCAGCAGCTGGCTCGAGCACGCTGGAGGCGATACTGTTACAACACGTTCACGTATAGTTCATACTCACTCATCATTTGGGAAAAAACGAAAGTTGGCCTTTAGCGACAGAAATTCCTGCATCGCTTAGTCTCTCCAGGCAATGCTTTGCAAGGGTAGCGAGGACTTTGGATTTAAGACACCGGGTACCTGTCCACACAACCTAGATAGATAGAATTTAGATAGAATTGGAGGATTAAACCCTCTTTAATGGTAACACATACATGCACAGCACACACAGTGAAATTTGACCTCTGCATTTAACCCATCTTAGTATTAGGAGTAGTGGGCAACCTGGACCTGAACACAAGCTGCTGTATTCTCAGAGCCTTCCCTCTCTGCAAAACAGCCTCATTCTGCATTAGAAAAGTATGCAGTTAAAACAGAGACTTAATAAAACAATTGTCAAGTGTTAGGAAGAAAAACCCTTTTAAGTGTGATAGACTGTTAAAATAATTTTTTTTAAACGTAAGAGAATATGAAAGGTTCCTATAATAGTCAGGAAAAGTGATCTGCAATAATCAGAAAAAATACCAAAATTCCCAACATCACCACAAACTACCTTCGGTTATTGTATTTATTACTTAAAAATACAGTTTACAAATTATTCTGTACTGTTTTTGTTATGCATTGAATATAAAATAAAAAATGTCACCTAATGAGGGGGTCGTACGTTTACCCAATGGGGTCCCTTAAGGAAAGGGTCAGGAAACCACGGGTCTAGTTAATTTCAGGGTTGGAGTGCATCTTTGAAAGGGTTTTCAAATATTTGGCTGAAAAAACTGAAAGCCCACAGTGACGACCGGCAACCTACAGAGGCTGCTGGAGGTTTCACTCTGCGCTGAAAGGAGAGAACAACGGCCTGAAGTGCCCCCTGCTGAGTCCTTAAAATACTGAGCTGCACTGAAATAATCATAGGGTAGGTTGAAAGGAAGAACGTTTTTTTACTGAAGGCAACTGATAAACAGCTAATTTACAATGGGCAAGCATGGGCAGTAATATCTGAAAAACAGTAATTTATTCAATCTTTTTAGGGCTATAAACATGACACAGTTGACACCTTTAAGTGACTTTATCACGCCATACTGTTAATTACTGCAGAGTAAATTAATATTTCAGAAAATGCTATAACTTGTTTTGCCTTAGGCATAACAGTGAGGATGAATGACAGGCCACTTAGCCCCCTTGAACTTTTACAGTGCAATAAAAGCAACTGTACCCAAAGAAGGAATGTGAGATTTGTGCTTTGTTACTGTTTGGCATTTTAAAGGGCCTCAAGAGACCTTCACACTCGGCATGCTTTCTGTGAGAGACCCTTGGTGTCTGGAGGTTAAGTCAAGATGAGGACCTTGTAGATTTTCCTAAGTATTAGTACTACAAGTACAATGGAAAAGATAAAAAACAAATGGTGATATATAGAGCCTTTGCAGAACTCGCTCATTTGCTCTGTAGCACACTTCCACTAAGGATCAGAGTAGACTGTTACTGCTTTAAATCTTAAGACTAACTTTTACAAAACGGCTTTTCCTAACATCTATGGACTATCCTAAGGTGGTAATTTCCCCATGTGCGGGTGTAAAGTATACAAGAACAATAAGTACAAGAATTTTTGAAATACTGATTTTAAGGAATTTTGATAAGAATTATGGACTTATTTTGGGTTAATTAATTAAATATTTTAAGTCTTTTAAGCAAACACAGGATTCGGGGTTTACTGTATGTGTATGTGTACAAAATAGCGGTGTGATTATACATGATTCTGAATGATGTATCACATACTGTATAAAGTGATAAATGTTTATGCATGGTGTGCCATGACTGATTCTCACATCAGAAATTGCATGTTGTTATTTAATACAAACATGACATCACTATAACATTATAGTACTAAAAGACAACTTGGCAAGTGGACTTTAGCTCAGGTTGAAAGAGTAGAATCAGCTAGAAAGCAATAAACATGTGCTCACAAAAAAAAGTGCTTTTGTAGAATTCCTGGTATAGACATATTTTCCCAACAACACTATTACTCATTGACAGGTTAATAGGGTAATCTGTATTTTTTGAGTGACTTGAAATCGGTTTTGCTTCAGGTAAAAAAAATGCATCTTCTGGTGTTCAGTCTCGCTTTCAAATCCTTCAATACCATGTACAAATAGGATTAGTCACACCCAATATATCACTCTCCTCTTTGTCCATGAGGAGCATGGTGCTTTTGTAGGAGGCAAACTTTTGCGTCATATCTAGAGGTCCCCCTTGTGGCGACAACATCTTGCAGTCTGTTAAATATCCAGCCCCATAGTCATCGGCATCAGACAATCCCAAGGCAGCCTTTCCAAAATCCCAAGGATCATGGCAGACTCTCTGGGCCAGCTGTGCTATCTCCCTCCTAAGGCTTCTTCACAAAAAGTCACAGAGCGTGGCAAATGGGGCAGCAAAAAGGAGTTCATTCTGTCGGTGGCTGGTGCTATTATTGGACTGGGAAATGTGTGGAGATTTCCATATCTGTGCTACAAAAATGGTGGTGGTGAGTATTCCTGTTTACTACTTTCTCTCAGTTTACTAATGGTACCCCAATCTCAGGTTTAAAAAGTGCAGTATAGTGTCAGAACTGGCATTAAACATTTTCAAAGTCTTTCATTTTTTAATAAAAACTATAGTGAATAGAAATATGATGGTACATTTTACACAAGGGTTCTTGCCTTTTAAAAGTATTGACATCAACTGTGATATAAAAAATAAAATAAATATATTGACATTTATATTTATAAATAGATGTATTATTGTGTAACTAAAAGTGTAACCACAGTTATGCAAAGTACTCGCTCCACCTACCTTGTGTTTTGAAAAAAAAATACATAATAAAAAAGCAGAGGATGATTTTGACTGATAGCATTATTAATATTTGTTGGGGCATCATGAATATAAATATAAATGTTAATTATTTTGGCGATGTTTAATTTGCAGTGAAAACCTACTGTAATATTTTGAGAGCCTTAGAGTATTGGTTTCATAACTTCTCTGGCAACATACGGGACAATGAGAATCTTTATTAACCTTCAAGTTGAATGTTACAGTACAACAAATACATTTTGTTAAATGATATTTATATGAACACTTAAATAACATGTGTTTTCAATTGCACAATTGAAAATACAGTGTTTTCATGGATTTGTTTTAATACATTACTTTTAGTTTGCAGTATGCAGTATTTGAAGTGTGTTGTTTTTATGTTTTTATGATTACTTACCCTGTGTATTTCAGTATCTAGAAGCTCACTCTATGATTATAATATATTATTATAATCAAACTCAGTTTGTACCCCTGTATCAGACGCCTACCCTGAAGGCTAAGTAGCTAAAGTAGATTTTTGCTACTCTCTGTCTGTGTCTCCCTCTGATTCACATCTGATGATTAAGGATTTGACAGGTTATGAGAGGCTGGAATAATAATGTACCGCCTTTGTTAGTTCAAAGAGCAGAGTCACATTCTTCTCTTCTCTGAAAAAACCTACCTACTCTGCAGTGTGGTTAGGTTAAATGCAGACATTACCAGCTAATGTTATTTATTATATTTTCATAATTTGTCTTCCATCAACCCTTTCACTGGTTTGTTAACATCTTTCAAGCCTCTCTAAAAGTGTCAAGTCGGACAAATCTCGGTAATCTCTAAATGTAGAGTGTTGATTTATAAAGGTCATGAGCTTGTCTATTTATATTTCTAATATCTAATATCCCCTCCTAACTTTTAGATCCGGTTTCGACATTTATTTTAATGTGTTTCTTTTATTGCGCTAAATGTGTCACTATGCAGAACTATGGCTCAAACCTACATTATGTAAACACCCAACACCTGGCAACTTGGCTGCAGACAGTCAACCACAACATACGATGCCAGCTACAGTCAGGGTGTTGATACTCACACATCCAAGATAACCACAACAATACACATTCAAAGCTGAGAGAAATTTGAAAACTAGCTCAAGCCACACCAATCCAAGCAATAAACCGACAAAGCAGAGTGGATGGCATATGTATTTGTTAACCTAATATTGAATCAACACACATTTTACTGCCTCATTTAGTCTTTTGCTTTCATTTATTTGTTTTACCAACTTAAAGGTCCACTATTATACTCTTTTTCATCAATATATTACAGGTCTCAGATATATACAAACATGTCTCTGAAGTGTTTGGCTCGAAATACCAAACAGATCATTGTAGCATCCCATAATCCCCTCTGTTTCAGCCCTGTTTCAAAAGTGCTGATTCTGTGTCTGTTACTTTAGATGAAAATAAGGAGCCCCTCCCCACGCCCCTCTGAGAGATATTTGGTTAAAAAGAACACAATGGTGCTCTAGGAGGAGATTCAGGTGGTAAGGTGGGTGGGGGGGGTTACCGTGGTTGGTTATTGGCTAATGGTTACACAACCCAAAACACCATTATGACATCACAAAGTGGCCAAAATCTGATCAGCTCATATTCAGACAGGTTTTTATATATAAATGGATCAGGACAAAAAGAGAGAGAATCATTTTTCCTGAAACTTTCAGAATCTCTTTACACAGAGGGGACACATGTTTATGTATACAATACATGAAAAAGTGCACTTTGCATAATAGGTGACCTTGAAACTTTCTTGTGGAGAAGACATCTGCTTTTTGGCTCTTGTAAAAACCTACTTAACAATAAAGTAATCCTAACTACGACAACAACCCCCATGATCTCACACTACTTCATAACTCCACCAATCATCCTGTTATTGTTTTGATTTAGAGACCCCTAGTGGCATAACATTTCCCATTGAGCATTTAAAAGAGAAAAAGAACAGTTGCTTGCATCAATTAAGAGAGGAAGTCAAATATCTAAGGAGTAACAGAAATGTGAAAGAGTATGTGATTATTGTGTTCTTTGTATGTGTGCTGCTATACCATGTTAACAGTGCTTTATTTATACATGCAGGTGCCTTCTTCATTCCTTACATCCTGTTCCTTGTGACCTGTGGTGTTCCTCTGTTCATACTGGAGGTATCCCTGGGCCAGTACACCAGTCAGGGAGGAATCATGTGCTGGAGAATGGTCTGTCCCTTGTTGGAAGGTGAGGAATACCTTCCAGGAGTAAAGCAAGAAAAACTACCGCAAAGCATTGTTGTTCACATTTTATGTTGTTTCCAGGCATAGGATACGCCAGCCAAATTATCATTTTCTATGGCTGTATCAGCTACGTTGTGATTTTAGCCTGGGCTTTTCTCTACTTGTTTGCCTCATTCTCTGCTGAGCTGCCATGGGCCACATGCAATAACACATGGAATACAGGTAAATAAAAAATGTTTTCAAGCATTAACTTGCAAATATAAAGCACTTGCTACGATCATATTTAGTTTTCTAAACTGGTTACTGTTTTAGTATGCAACAATTCATTTATCATGTTGTACTGATGTTATTGAGCAAGCATTTTCAGTCTGTGTTTAACAATACTTTGATATATTTTAGATTCTTGTGTGGTATTGAACAACTTTAACGCCACTGCTAACTGGACCTCGTCTGTGAATGCATCATCGTCTATACTAGAGTTTTGGCAGTAAGTTTTTATCACAATAACATAGAACTTAATAAAAAATAATTCAAAAATATTTAAGGATAACAAGAAAATATAACTGATCTACAGATGTGGTATTTTCATTTTTGTGTGGACCAAAGCAGAGCTTTTCCAAAATGACACTATAGCAAACTTTGAGTGATTAAACACACTCAAACTTGTACCATATGGGCAAGACTCCTTCCACTTCTATTATGTATTTTCTTGGCCTTATATTATTCCATGCTGGCAAAGCTCTACATAATGTAATCTATACATATACAGTATACATATATACATTAAATAAAAGTTATTACACACTCAATCTTTCATTTATTTTGGCTGATTAAACCTTTTGTTAGGACACTGTAGACATGTACAGAGTGTTTGAAATCTCAATCCCTCTTTTGATGTTTTTAATTGCAATGTGTTCGGGTGGGACGGTTAACACCTCACTCCCAACAAAGCTTCCCCTAAATTCACCTACAAAAGAGGTCTAATGAGCCAGAATAATTCCTAATTCCTGTGTGCTGAAGGTGTGAATACCCTTTCATTGCACATTCAAGAATGTATTTTTGAGTAGTTTGCTAAGCTCTCTAACATGAAACCTTTCATAATAGACTTGTTAACTTGTCAATCAAAGATGTGACTAATATGGAGTGACTGCATCCATTTGTGATTTCCAAATATATCAAAACTTATTTTAATCAGCATACTGTAAAGCTGACTGTGCACAGTGGAGCTGTTTACCATTTTATATCCCCTAACCTTTTAGGTCAGTTGGTTTGGATTGCTATAGGAACAAATAATGAGAACGGAATATGAGTGTAATGGAAATGCTACCTATAATTATTTAACAATACCCTGGTCTCTACAGACGACGAGTGCTGAATATCTCCACTGGCATAGAGGCATTGGGAAACATACAGGGGGACCTTGCTTTGTACCTTTTTCTGGCCTGGGCCCTCTGCTACTTCTGCGTCTGGAAGGGAGTGAGATCCACGGGAAAGGTAAGACCAGGGTTGGGAGGGTCACTTTAAAAATGTATTCTGTTACAATTACTAGTTACCTGTGAAGAAATATAAAAGTCATGTAACTCTCTATTACTTTTGGATATAAATACCAATTATATTATCATTAATTTTGACTTGAGTGAACACACAATTTAAATCTTTTTTTTATCAATGGTTTAAATGTCGCTTGTGTTCTCAGGAGGCAGACAAAGCACCCGTTGACACTTACTCACTTACTCACGATGCTCACGTTGCTCACATGCTCACGTTAACAGGCAGTTTATCAAATACTGTGGCACTCCGGAAGGGTTAAGACAAAACGAATAAGGGTGTTCGGATCAGGTTGAACAGGTTCAAATCCCATTGCAGTCAGCATGTCGTTGTGTCCCTGGGCAAGACACTTCACACGAAATTGCTCCTGTGGGGATTGCCCACAGTATTGAGTATGTAAGTCGCTTTGGATAAAAGCGTCTAACAAGTGACATGTAATGAATGAGAATTACGTTTTGAGGTTAACTCAGACATGCAGCCCCATGCAACTTACTACTGCCAGTTTATCCTAAGCCTGGAGCATTGAAAGGCAATTATAAAAATGTTCACTGAGGTGTGAAAGGTGGCCCAGAACCAATGCTCTCATAAGCTTCTCAGGTGTCATAACTGTGTGTGAAAACCCTGAGGCAAATTCTTGATTATTGGAAGCAAAATTGACTTGCCTTAAAATTGACTTGTTAGGGTTGGAATGGATGATCAGGATCAACGTGAGGTCTGGGTTCTATTTCGTATAAGGCTTCGCCCTCTAACGGAACGTCTACACAGCAGCGTTAAAAAAATCTTGGAGGATTTTTTGCGAACAACCAATCACATGAATCTCCCGCCCGCGACATACGAAGCAAAAAAGCCCGAAGTAAACTGGATATAAACTCCCCAAAACAGGCGAAAACATACCACTGTCTCTGCCACCTCCCTCCATGCCTGGCTCCTCCGGTTTATATCCCGGTAGGTCTGGTCATAAAGCACCGGGTGATTGATTCGCTACCGCTAATTTCTCCTCCATTTTTGGAATATGAGGAAATGACCTGCGGTATGTCTCTCCCAGCATACACGCCGTTTGATTGGCTAGAGCTTGAACGGTCAGATTTGCGTACACGGGATTTGATTGGCTGCCGCTTCCACCTCAGCTTCAAAAGTTGAACATTGTTCAACTTTGAATCCTCAAAATCCTGAAAATCTCCGCTCGCCTGCCCACAATGCATTTCGGCGAAAAGTGAGGGAAAGTGACGTCACCCCATTCAAAGTGAATGGGCAGAAGCGTTTCAAGATTTTTTTAACGCTGCTGTGTAGACGTACCGTAAGGCTATCGCTATTGGGTAATCCCACTGCACGTGTGCAGCACTGACAGACTTAATCCACGCCCACCTATGACGTGGGCCCCACCTACGGCCTCACTTCCGTATAAATAGGAAGTAGGCCCGACCATCTGCTCCCATTTTTCTTCAGCACTCTGTTGCAGAAGCACTGGCCCTCTGGCCCACAGACAGCGGAGAGAGGACGCTCTCGCTGCTGCGGCCGAGGATGATTAGCTAGTCCAGGAGTCTTACTCCGTGGACCAAGACCTTGATTTATGGGATTCGAGTGGCGGGCAGCAGTCAGGCGACTCCTTCCCCTCCATTCACGGATCACCATGGGGTTCCCCCGGCCCCATCCTCCCTCTCCTCCGGACGGGGGAGACAGGGCGGGGGCTCGGGGTCAGCCCGACATATGAGTTACGACCGGCTGTGGCTGGCTCGCTCCAGGGAAAAAGGAAGCGGCTTTACACAGACGATACAGGTAAGTACTGCCGGGGATGGGAGCACGCAAACGCGGCTCTCACTCCCCAGGTGTTGTGCACTCATTGTGTCCGTCTCCCTCTGGCCCACAGACAGCAGAGAGCGGACGCTCTCGCGGCTGCGGCTGAGGATGATTGGTTAGTCCAGGAGTCTTACTCTGTGGATCAAGCCCTTGATTTATTGGATCCGAGTGGCGGGCAGCAGTCAGAACAACTTCTTCCCCTTCATTCACGGATCACCATGTGGTTCCCCCGGCCCCATCCTCCCTCTCCTCCGGACGGGGGAGACTGTCAGCCCGACAGCCGAGCCTATGGGTTCGGCTGCCGGGCTGACACCGGGTCACCGGGTCCCTCTATCCGCCATCTCGGATCTGCCGTATAGGCGGTATTCTCCAGGAACTCCCGGAGATCATCGGAAAGGCAGCCGCCTAATGAGATCTCCCCATTCCCCCGGTTCAGGAGAGCTCTCCTCCGGATGACATAAAAAAGCTGTGTAAGCGGCTGCCTCATAGCCTATCGGTTATTAGGCAGCAGGGCTCGCGGCACAAACCGGCTGTCTTTAAAACCTGTCGGTTGATTAGACAGCACGGGCTTGTTTCCTATGTCACAGATATGCCTCCACACACCTCCGCTCATTCCTCAAGCGGGTTTGAGCGTGAACGCGCCTCAATGTCCGGTTTACGAGCCTTCTCTTAAACGGAGACATGATGAGAGCCGCTGTGCAATACAACGTGTGGAGGTGCATAAGCCAGCTGGGGTTAACCGGTCGGTTAACAGACAGCGGGGCTCGCCGTTTGAGCCGGCTGTAACCTGTCAGTTAGCAGGCAGCAGGGCTCGCGGCACAAGCCATGCTGTATTTAACCAGGCGGTTATTAGATAGCAGGGCTTGACGTTTAAACCTGATGCTCCTAACCTGTCGGTTAGCAGGCAGCACGGTTTTTTCCTCTGTCCCAGATGTGCCTACTACACACGGTCGTAATGAGCCCAGGGCTGTTATTACGCACTGTGTGAATAGCACTGCACATCAAACGTGATGCGCCGGTGAAGATGGCCGCATCGTCTATGTGCTCCTCTCCAACTTTGCCCATTTTCGTATTTTGTACATATTTCTTTTACTTTTGCCGTTTTACTTTTAACATGGTTCGCAACATGCTAGCCGACCGCACCTACTCTGCCGTACAATATAGCAGAGAGGAACTTTTCCAATTGCGAAACTTCGTGGACAATAATAACCCTCCGACAAGCAATGGAGATTCACCATGGCTACCTGTTGCTGTTCTACCTGAGAGACGCAAGAAGAAGACAAAGCGGGGATGCGGGCCGGGTTGCTGGTCAGACTGAGAAAACGAGAGAATCGGCCCCCTCTTCCGAGTATTCTTCTGGCTAATGTTCAATCCATTGAAAATAAGCTAGATGAACTCAGAAGCCGGATTGCTTTTCAACGGGACATTAAGAACTGTAACGTGTTAATTTTCACTGAGACTTGGCTCAACCCCGCTATCCCGGACTCCGCTATTGTCCCTGACGGATTCTCTATTTTTCGTCAGGACCAGACTGCTAACTCGGGGAAAAGTAAGGGAGGCGGTGTGTGTGTAATGACTAACAACAACTGGTGCTCAGATGTGAAGATTATTTCATCGGACTGTTCCGCACAGCTAGAGCACCTCATGATCTCATGTCGGGCCTTCCATCTGCCGAGGGAATTCACATCTGTTGTGATAACAGCAGTGTATATCCCGCCGCAGCCACTCGCCGACAACAACACGGCACTCGATCAGCTGTTTGGGTTTATTGATAAAACCGAGACTTCACGGCCAGATGCGGCGTTCGTTGTGGCCGGAGATGTCAACACCGCCAACATGAAGAAGGTTTTGCCAAAATATTACCAACACATCAACTTCCCGACGCGCGGGGGAAACATACTAGACCATGTTTATTCCCCTTTCCGGAATGGATATAAGGCTCTCCGTCGCCCTCCCTTCGGCAAATCAGACCATATCTCACTACTGTTGTTGCCTGCGTACAAGCAGAAACTTAAAAGGGACAGACCGATAACAAGGACAGTACAACGATGGAGCGAGGAGTCAGATTCAGCACTGCAGGATTGCTTTGCATCTACGGATTGGAGTGTGTTTGAGGACAATAACATCAACACACACACGGACACTGTCATCTGCTACATTGGGAAATGCATCGATGACGTGGTACCGAAGGTTTCTGTACGGACATTCCCAAATCAAAAGCCCTGGGTAAACGGTGAGGTGCGCGGCAAACTGAAAGCGCGCACTCTCGCGCACACAGCGGGAGATTTGGAGGAGTACAGGAAGTCTAGGTATGATCTCCGGAGAGCAATTAAAAATGCAAAGAGACAGTACAAAGACAAGGTGGAATCTGACTTCAAAGGCTGTAACACTAGGAATATGTGGGCGGGACTAAGGACAATGACTGACTACAAAGGAGCAGCGGGGGGTGCTGCGGGAGTGTCTGCGTGCGCATCTCTCCCAGATGAGCTAAACAGTTTTTTTGCACGCTTTGAGAGCAGCCAGGCTGTGGAGGTACAGAGGGACCAGGAGCTACACTGCCCTTTTGTTTTAAATAGGGCAGATGTGTGTAAATCCTTTAAAAGGGTTAACCCACACAAGGCTCCTGGACCTGATGGCATCCCTGGCCGTGTTCTCAGGGTGTGTGCAGTTCAGCTGGCAGAGGTGTTCACAGACATCTTCAACAGGTCCCTGCTGCAGTCTGTAGTCCCCACATGTTTTAAACACTCCACCATCATTCCTGTCCCCAAAAAGACAATCATCACCTGCCCCAACGACTACCGCCCAGTAGCACTCACCTCCATCATAATGAAGTGCTTTGAGCGGTTAGTCAAATTATTCATCACCTCCTCCCTCCCTGAATCTCTGGACCCCCTGCAGTTTGCCTACAGAGCAAACAGGTCCACAGACGACGCCATAGCCCTCACCCTCCACACTGCCCTCTCACACCTGGACCCGAAGAACAGGAACACATATGTGAGAATGCTGTTCATTGACTACAGTTCAGCATTCAACACCATTGTGCCCTCCAAGCTGGCCATCAAGCTCAGAGACCTCGGGCTCAACAGCGCCCTCTGTGACTGGATCCTGAACTTCCTGACGGGCAGACCCCAGGCAGTGCGGGTGGGAAA